ATAGTAACTGGTATAATGATCACTTCTGCTTCTATACTGCTCAGGACACAAAGGACGACCTTTACGAGGCCTGGAAACCTGATGAGCTGAAGTTCCATCAGGAACATTGGGCGAAATACGGTGAATTTGACGCCGCTCGTTATTACCAGGCCTACAAGCTGTCCGAGAAGCAGCGTGAAATGATGGCTGACATTCGTGGGATGATGGGGTCTGAACCTACCAAGCCTTCTCTCAGCGCGACGTTTGGGAAACTCACGCCACGAATCACTTCTCGCTCTTCTCAAACATGGCCTTCACAGCCCTTTTCTTCAGGCAGCGGCAAGTCCTCCTCCTCGACACCCGACTGCCTTATCTGCACTGAGCGAGGCCACGACGCAACTCAACACGCCGATAGCACCGTCGTCATCAAGTTCAAATCTGACGGCAAGCCAGTATGGTCCAAGTACAGTGACCATAACCTCCTCAGCCCCGACAACCGAGTCATTTGCATCAGCTGGAACCTTCGAGGCGACCGTGGGCACCCATGCTCTCATAAAGACGAGCGCGCCCATCTCTGCTCCTTCTGCGGGAGTAAACGCCATCACGCCTTCGCATGGATTTGCCGTTCCAGACCCTCAAACTGATGCTTTCCTTCAGGTGTCGCTTTCTCTTCATCTTTCCTACTCCGACTTTTCCTCTTCCATCGTTCCTCGGCCCCCTCTGGCTTGTACCTCTTCTGAGGATTCCCTTCTATTTCACAGAGTCTTGCACCCATATAGTCCCGACGCCTTCGACTCTCTACTGCGCAAACACAACCTTTTCGACAGCTACCCTCTCCTGCCTTTTAACCTGCGCTTCGGGTTTCCTATTGGGCATATGCCCTCACTTCCTCACACCGTCATCATGCCCAACAATCCTTCCATTCTTTCTTATCCCGATACTGTTTCCGACTACCTTGCTAAAGAAGTGAACGCCGGCAGGTTATCAGGCCCATTCTCTCGCGAGGTTGCAGAAAAAATTTTGCGTGGCCCCTTTCAATCTTCATCTCTCATCGTCTCTGTTCAGCTGCAAGAGCCCGGGGTGCCCGACAAGTTGAGGGTTTGTCAACACCTTTCCAAGGCTTCCAAGTCACATGCCTCTGTCAATTCCTACATCCACAAGGATGATTTCCCAACGCACTTTGACACCGCATCCAAGGTTGCTGAGATCGTGAGTTTTCTCCCCTATTCTGTTTCTTTTCCCACCTTTCTTCCTTCTTGTTACACATCTCCTTTGTGTTTCGTGCATGGAGATGTTTTCTTCTTAGCGCTGGCCTTGCGTCCAGTCGCTCCTTGGGTATTTTTGCTTCATGCAAGTTACCTAGTCCTCTGTATCATCCTTCCTCTTCCGTGCCACTGGCACGGTGATTATCTTCCACGTGTAAAGCGTGATGATTCCTCTTCCGCGCGTCGAGCGTGATGACCCCTCTTCCACACGTCGAGTGTGATGTTCCTCTTCCGCGTGTTGAGCGTGATGACTTTCTCTTTATGCACTCGACGTTATAATGTTGCATGTATCATCTTTAATTTGCCATGCATGATATCACCTTTCTTTCATGTTTCATGTGTTTTGCACGTTATCTCATCTTCACCTTCCTGTTTGATCTATCTTTCCTTCTACATCTTACTCATGTTTCTGGATCTCTGCGTAGATTTCTCATGCACCTCCTGGAACACAAGCGTGCACCCTTGATATCAAGAAGTTCCATCGGACCTGCCCCGTTCTCCCATCCCACAAACCTTGGCTAGTCGTCCAAGGCACTTCTGACGACTTCTTCATCAATCACGATCATCCGTTTGGAGCTGCTTGTGCCAGCAGTAATGCTGGTATGATTGCAAACGCCGTCGTTGACATTTGGAGAGCTGAAGGGGTCTTCCCAGTGCCAAAATACGAAGACGACCTGAAGGCTTTCCGATTCCCTTCGCCATCCGGCCTCTTCGTTGATGGCGATTTTCACTATGACTATGACCGCGACGATATGCTTCGCCACATCTCCTCTTTGGGAGTACCTTGGCATGATGAGAAGGGTGACGAACGCTTCTCTTTTGTCACGACGTTTATCGGATTTCTCTGGGATATCCCTCGGAAGCTCGTTAGCTTGCCGGAAGGAAAGAGAAACAAATTCCATCAACGCGTCCTTCAATTCCTGACTGACTTTGACGGCCGACCTTGCCATTTACGGGATGTTGAAAAGATCCACGGATCTCTTTGTCACATCGCTTTTGTTTATCTTGATGGTCGCTCCCACTTGCCTTCGCTTTCTAACTTTGCGTCTACCTTCCATGGTGACGAATTCCTCACAAAGTATCCCCCACACTCCCTGATTACTGACTTGAATTGGTGGTTGGTCAAACTTACTTTGCGGGGGGTATCTCGGTCCCTTCACCCTCTTGGTCCTTTATCAGATCTTGGGTTGTATGTTGATGCCTCTACATCGTGGGGTATTGGCATTATCATTGGTGATGAATGGGCTGCCTTCCAGCTTTCGTCTTCTTGGAAGATTGAAGGCCGCGACATCTGCTGGCTCGAGACTGTTGCCATCGAGCTTCTTGCCCTTGTTTTGGAGTCCAGAGGTCTTCGGGACCTTCACCTGCTTGTCCATTCTGACAACCAAGGCACCATCAGTGCCCTTGATAAGGGCCACAGTGGCAACATCTATCTGAATCTTGCAGTTCGTCGCACACATCTCATTCTAATGGCTACCTCCCTTGTTTTTAAAACTGTTTATATTGAATCTGAAGCTAATCCAGCTGATCCTATCTCGCGTGGGGAACCAGGACCTGTTGGGAAGCAAATCTTCCCGTTTTTCATGCTCCCTGATGAGCTATCCTCTTGTTTTGTTCATGCCTAGGTTAGCCTTCTTTCCTGACACCATTTACTTCCTCCTTATTCTCACATCATTTATTTAGTCTCCAACACCCTTTTAAACCGGCGACGCGTGTTGTCGAGACGACTGTGGGTGGTTCACATCCTGTTCCTCCGCGCCCCACATGTCGTCATATTCTCTTTACTCCTTTCCAGCCTCATATCACACCTTCCACACCTGCTTCGACATCACCTTCCACAACTACACTGGAATCGCTATCTACAACTATGACATCGCCTCCCATAACTACTCTGCAATCACCATCTACAACAACTGATTATTTTACTCTCCCTCACGACGTCTCACCTCTATCGTCCCGACTCATCAAACCCAGGAAACCTCACACCAGGCGACAAATCTCTCAAAATTCTTTACGCCCTCATGTCGCTGCTGCGGATCGCTTGTTTGCCTGGGATACACCCCACGCTGTTCGTCACTGACAGCACCTTATCGCTTCTCTTCATCCACACTTGGTCAATAGTGCTATGATGTCCATCCGTGGGGCATATGCACCTAACACCAAATCCACGTATGCTGCCGGCGCTCTGCGCTTCACCCAATTCTGCGATACATGGGGTATCGATGAGGAAGCGCGAATGCCTGCTTCTTATCCCCTACTCTGTGCCTTCATCGGCGAATATAAGGGTAGACAAGCTGGGAATACTATACGCTCCTGGTTGTCCAGTATCCGTGCATGGCATGTCGTCAATCATGCCCCTTGGTTTGGAGACGACGAATGGGTTCACCTGGCCTGGGTGTCTGCAAACAAAGAAGGGACAAAACATCAACGTCCTCTCCGTGCCCCTGTCTCCATTGAGCACCTCTTGGCTCTTCGCCGTGCTCTTAACCTTTCTACTCCTTTCCATGCAGCAGTCTGGGCCCTCGCTCTGTGCACATTCTTTGGCTGCCGACGGCTAGGCGAACTAGCTGTTACCACTGCTGCTGCATTTGATGAGAAATATCACGTCCTTCGCTCCGTTATGTGCGCTACCTTTCCTTTTTATATATATTCTCTTATATTCCTTTAGGATCACTTTCCGCACGCTGCGAGATGGTTCCTCCTCTGCAAGCTTCCATATTCCTTGGATGAAAACTACGAAGGAACTCGGCGCCTCCATAATCCTTACTGCACGGAACGACATCCTTTGCCCTGTCACTGCACTGAAGAATCATCTTGAAGTTAACTCATCCACTGATCACTCTGCCCCCCTTTTCACTTATACGACTGCTTCTGATCAGTCGAAGATCCTTCTCAAACATGAATTTCTCAATTTCTGTAACCAGATCTGGTCGTCCGCCATGCTCGCCCACATCTTGGGCCATAGTTTTCGCATTGGCGGCGCTGTCGAACTTCTCCTTGCTGGCGTATCACCTGAAATTGTAGCTGCAACAGGCGGTTGGACTTCTCTCGCCTTCTTACTTTACTGGCGTCGCATGGAAGAGATTCTTCCTATGAGTACATCAAAAGCATACAACAAGTCCCACCTTGACTCGTTGGCCGCAATCTTCGAACAGTTTCGTATTAACAATAAAATCCCTTCGGCGCTCATTGTCGCCTCTAACGGGAACCTCGTTCTGTAATCTACCTGTATTTATATCGCTTCACAAAAAATTATCTTAAAACTCCTCTCCTGTACTTGTATTTTAATTCACGAAATTTCTCTCCCAGAGTGCCGCTTGATTGGGTAGTTCCTCTGTGCTGAACCAACTTGCTTGTTGTGAGCTTCCACTCTGGTTGGTATAGCTAGTTGTTTTGCACACAATCGAGCTTTCAGACGCTCAGGTCTTGCCCATCTTTCGGATCTTACCATTATTATTTAAGATCCAATTTGAGCCAGCTGGGCAAGTCCTAGGCACACACAGGTTATCCGTGTCTACGGATTTCTTGCATTTAAATATCTGTTGTATTTAAATACTTCCCTCCTTCCTACATCTCACAAAACACTAGAGTTATCTCATTCCGCGATGAGCAAGCACAAGGCACGAGTGCAAGCTCATTATCGGATAAGATAACGGCTGAGCGTCAGAACGAGATGGTTTGTACTCATAAGTACAAACACTCATGTATGTCTCCGAATCCTAGACAAGGAGAACTACATTCTCCTTGTCATTCAGATTATCGTTCTGACGCGGCAAAAAGAGTCCTCTCAACCTCAGTGAAATTTTCGAACCCACCCACCATCCCTCTTAGCGTCTGTATAGCTAGTTGTTTTGCACACAATCGAGCTTTCAGACGCTCAGGTCTTGCCCATCTTTCGGATCTTACCATCCTCGTGGTATGGTCGAAAATCTCCAACAAACGCGTGTCATCCACGGCCGGATCCCACTCCGTCCTCAATTCAGGTGTAGTCAAGACCGTTTTCCAGGGTTCCAGCGACACCATATCCTCGCTTGGGGTGGGCACGTCCAACACGATCCTATAGACCTCTTCGCCGGCCTTGCTATACGCGCGATGGACAATGACATCTGCGAGCTCTGGGACGGACGAGACACGTGCTTTGCCTTTGCCCTTGGAGGAAGAGGAAGAGGAAGCGTCCTTGGATGAGTTGGACATGCATTTCCAGTCTGAGGAAGGGGAGGTGAAGAGGTGTTTGAAGTAGGCTTCGGCATCGTTCAGTGCTTTGTACCATGTCTTTTGTAGTCTATTTTATTGTCATTGGGGTTGATTTTAGTGGGGTAAGGTAAAGAACTGACTGTGAGCCATCGGACATTGCTTGACTCGGAGTATGATAAACTTTGGATGTGAACCTGGCTTTAGCTCTTGAGTCAAGAAGGTAAAGTCATGGCGTGACCATTGAGCTTCCTGCCACTCTCCTCGATAAATCATGGGCCCTGGTGAGAGTCATGTTGGAACTTTTCTTTAGCGAGTTCTTTCGATCACGACCGACGTTCGATTTATCAGGATTTATCCAAGCTTTATCTGACTATTGGCGTTGGCCGAAGCAGCGGGTAGCAACAACTCAACAATTCCATCATCTCTTGAATTATCTTACGAACTATGTAAGTGTACTTGAAGCCTCAAACTCGTCGAGATTCGATGTTGCGCCGTCCAATGTGAGTTTCCGCTCCTCATGGCCTCACACCTCGAATGAAGCTGACTCATTGGTCGATCTAGGACAACTGGGTCGAACAGCTCCCTTACATTCACATCACTCCGGACGCGACGTATCTCCACTCTGAACGCGCTGCCGGAGAGCTCTTCTTTTTGCTCAGCAGTCACCACGGATTTTCACCTCCGAAGGGATGTACAACTCGATGCCCATAATCTATCTGCTCATATCGCCGGTCCGTCGTGTGAAAGTGCCGTGACTATGCCCTCTTCAAATTACCAAAATGTTTCCAATCATAGGGGGCAACCCGTGCATCTCATCACCGTCAGCTTCAAATCCAGTACTCAGAACCACGTAGACGTGTAGAGCTGCTTCGCGTGCAACCGAAGAAGCGGTTGTGCTGTTAGGTGAGTTGATTGGTGTATGAACTATGTATACTTATCGCGGGTTTTCTATCAGGGCAACGGCGCTTGTGAAGTACGCCATGGAATGTCGATTTAGATGCAATCACTTCACCAGCTACAAGCCCTTAGACACCTGGATACATACACGAGCCATGACGTCGACAAACTAGAGCCACAAAACCTTCGCTCTGAGCACTCGGTCGGATTGAGGAGTCAAGTGATACATTGTCTCTGCCTATGTCACACTTCCCTAAACCTGACACTCCTGTGCAGACTGGTCACTTCTACTGGCACAATCACTGCCAATTCTGGCTTACAGGAGGATCATGTATGACTACGTTTGACCTTTTTCGGTTGATTCTTTCAAGGCCATCAAATGGTACTCTATCTCTTCTGCAACTCGAAGTCATGCTCACTGTCGCTCTTTGACGGCGCAAGTGCTCTTTGGCTGTCAATCCACTGAAGATCATGCTTGAAACGCGCCAGAGCAAAGCCATTGACTCTACACGTAGAATATTGAACTCCAGCAATGATTTCGATCAAATCGATCGGTCTATGTATGTATGTACTATGTATGTCTATGTGCTGTATGTGTGAAATGATAACCAATCTGAGTGCTCAAGAACGGCCATTTGGCATTCATGAAATGAATTGTGCCTGCATCTACTTTGGAGATAGAGCGTACCCCAACATGCGTCGTGTCACCCACCCAAAACGCGAGCTATGTAAGGCTGAGTGCAGATCGTTTTTAATGACCAAGTCCTGCCGATATACCCCCTCGCATCAGTAAAATTACAAGTCCGGCTTTAGCCGCTTTCACCGCTTTTGAAAGCATGAAAGCATGAAAGCGTTTCCGCTTTTGGAAGCCCAGGCCATATTGTTTGAAAAGGGATTTCCGCTTTCAAAAGGGACAAAAGGGGCTGCAAGTGGTTCAAAAGGGGACCATGAAAGAGGTGCAGCTTTCAAAAGGTGACTTGAAAGGGGCTTAAAAGTAGGCAAAAGTGAATAGATTTCTGATATTTGATGGAAACAATGGTAGTAATTACTACTAGAACGACGCTAACCCTCTAATGTCCTCGCTAACTCGAAATCAGACTCGCTGGAAGGGGTTGTGGCCTGGGGAACCATTGCCGCAACAGTCTCGCCGACCCACTGCAAAGCTTGACCATAGTCCCACCATGCTTGCTGTGCTGTGATTGAGGAGTTGTGTAATTCAGATTCGACGTTGCGCAGAGTTGTTCAGCTGGATGGATATCGAGAGTCAGAAAGGAAGGGGGGGAGAGGAAGGAAGGACGCACTCAGGACGAGTCATTGTCTAGTAGTGGCCAAGGCATTCCACGGCATCTGCTCGTCTGCTCGTTTCGAGTGAGTAGGCATTGCGAACGTGCTTTTTGAGCCAGGCGGTGCAGGCTTGACGTGTCGCGGGTAGAGACGAGTAGTAAAAAAACACCCACCAGGCCGCCTTGACCAGATGCGAAGAGACGTCGTCCATCATCACCGAGGTCAGGAGCGCCTTGTCAGGCAAATGCGTACTCACAGACGAGGGGAACACAAACAACCAAGCGACGACACCCCATCCATATCCCGCACCTCCACCATGATGCGCGTCCCCGGGTTCGGACCAGGGGAGAAGGCTTGATGCTCGTGGTCTAAGGGTGCGAGGTCGGTCGGTGCTGAGCGTAGTTGTAGATGTGGTCGTGCAAAACCCTACGGAGGGCTATGCATGCACTATCAGTCCTCCTTCAGTAAGAAGAGAGGAGAAACTTACAAAACGTAAGCAATGGTCTCTCTTCCTCGTTGTCCGACTCTGGGACAGCCTCAAGCGGTGAGGCCAGGAACGGGATCTGTGCAGTGCACGCTGGTCATTCGCCTGTGCGACTTTCGTTTCGGAAGGGCGAAGCGACCTGAGTGGCGTGGTGTGTGCTTTGCTGGTAGCTGAAACCACCATGGGCTTGTGATGCGACGGGAGTGGCGGGGCTTGGGTGAGGCGGGCTGCTGCTTCTGGAATCGAACCTGACGACGGCGATAAGCCACGTCGATGTCATCATAAAAGGATTTGTGCTGGCCAGACACATACCCAATCGTGAAGACATCGCGCGCCAGAGGAGGGGAAGGGAGAGATGTAGTGTAACGGAAAAGTTAACAAGTCCAAAAATTTCCAAATTCGGATGTTCAACATGTTGCGTGATCGACAGCCTTCAACAAGTCTTCTTCTGATTTTGGCATGGAAAACACATCTTCTACCTCTTTAATCCTCACTGAAAATTCATTATTAGATGATAGATCTTCACCCCGAATGCTACCCTATAAAATATATTGATCAACAAATTTGAAAGAGGTCCAAAGGGGGAAAGACCCAAAAGGGCGGGAAAAGGTGCCTTGAAAGTTAATTGAAAGTGATGTGAAAGTGAAAGTGCCTGGAAGTGAAAGTGAAAGGGGTTGTGAAAGTGACAGCTAAATGCAAAACCCTAGACACCTCGCCGAAATTTCTTGACTCCGCCTCGCTTTGTGCAAACAACCATTTGCGGAAGGAAGCGAGCACGAATGACGCAAGTCCTCCACCAACTCAGGTATATGTCATGTAATGGAGTGCTCCATGCTCCAATTGAGGTTATTATTGAGCCAAATGCAGCTGTTTGCACAAAGCGAGGCGGACACCAGAAATTTTCGGGAGGTGTCTAGGGTTTTGCATTTAGCTGGAAAGTGAAAGTGAAAGGGGTTGTGATTCTACTGATGCGGCCTCTTTAGAAGATTATGAAGGTTAGCTGTGGACAAAAATAAATTTTTCTTGAAACCCATGAATTTTTCACGAAGATCTTCAAAGATTGTTGAAGATCTCAGAAGATCTTTGAAGATTGTTGAGGATCTTTGAAGATCTTTGAAGATTGTTGATTTTCTAAGGCGACAAATAGTCAAGAATCTTGAAGAATCTATACTTCTCCAACAATTGTCAAAGATATACTAGATTGCTAAAGATCTTGTATATATTCAAAGATCTTCCATATTCTCCAGCACTTTTTGTAAAGAATGGAATTCATTTCAAAGATCTTCAGCTTTCTTTGTCTCTCTTAATTTTTGGCCGGCCATGGAGAAGGGCATTATGTAATGATCATATGATCCAGTCACAGGAACACACCAAGCTTTATGTCTGCATTTGGAAGTCCGGTGATTCAAATGAATCGGTAACTTGCTGTTCGATGGTATGATGTCATAGCTGGCTATCTTCCCCGATCTTAGGAGTCTTGAAGCTTTTATTCATAGTCAATATGGCAGAGAGATCTCATAGTGCTTAGCTAAACCAGCAGAGTATAAAAGCCAGAAGCAGCATATACACCCCATCCTCAAATTCCCAAACTCAGTATTGCCCTTGATTCCCCTTTTAAAATCAAACCCTGCATAAATCATACCAGGTACGTTTGAGGGACAGCCTCCAAAATAATGCATAATTAAAGGACAAACTCACCAACTATGCTGGAGGAGAGTGTTTTGTGTTTGTGTTGATGAACAAGATAGCCAGAGGCTGTGCCAGCAACCCTCAAGCTTGAGGGCAATGACATCATAACAACTGGGCATTTACAGCAAGTCGCTGGTTATGACATTATCTAGAGTATTACTCCTATCATCCATATTTTTTGATTGCCTTGAGAAAGATTTGGAGGACAGTCTCTGCTCGATTGTTGTCGCTGATGCCATTCCCAGTGATGAACTGCCCTTTTCCATCAATAAAAGAGTGGTTGACTATACCAAACCAAATGAGGCCTGTTTTCAACAATAGATATTAGAAGTGGCACGAGCTAAGACATTCATGAAACACACCATGCTGACCATCATGATGCCAGAGTGAATTGGCGCCAGCGACTTTGTATACTTTACGATGGATGCTGCGATCACCAAAGCTTCCAGGGGAACTGTGGACACGCAAATAAGAAGCAATTATACACTCTTGTGTTACGCGATGCCCACTAGCAGCTAGCTGCCCAGCAATCATACGTCGGCCAAAGGCAGGAAATATTTCCAGAATATTTGTGATTAATGCATCAAGCTGAGCATCTGTGATGTCACTGGATGATTTGCGGTTGGATTGTGTATGGACAGATGTTATTTGTCCATCTGGAAGGGTATGAGATATGAAAACTGGCTCTCCAGGTGAAACAAGGCCCTGTTCAAGTGCCCTCTGACGGATTGTACGTGCATTGCATCCAAGAACTGGCTGAAGGCCTGATGGTCCACAAAGATTCAGGGCCTCCTGAAGAAAGATAGAGTCAATCTCAACACGAGGTTGTCCTCGCCTGCCATTGCTCGAGCGAGTAGAAACAACAAGAGAGGCTCCCTCCTGAGGATCAGAAGATTGATGACACACTTGATCAAGTGCTGCAGCCATTGCATTGATGCTCTGTTGTAGAGTTGCATACTCTGCACTTGGAAAGTGGTGCTGGTGCTGTTAATGTACTTAGAAACTTTAAAACCATCAAAGCATTTGCAAGCTCACTGGCTCAGCTGCCTGAAGCAGACAAAGGGCATCTGTCCGCTGCTCGGAAAGCCTGGCAGCATCTCCAAGTTGGGTTCTTAGAGCAGTTCTCACCTGGTCACTCAGGACAAGATAAGCAGCTCTGATGTTTTTCAACTGCTCAGACTCAACCTCAGACATGAAGTAGAGTGATGTGTTTAGAAATTCAAGTTTGCGCAATGTTGAAGAGCGGTGGTCACTAGAATAGCAAGCCAGAAAGATCACAATGACATTGCCAAGCATAGGATACCCCTGAGAAAAGTGCCTGTGCCTGTACAGGCTGTACATCAATGCCTTGGCCCAATAAACAATTAAAAACAAGATGTCAAGATTCTTCAAGATCTTTATAAATGTAGATAATTTGTTGTCCTAATTTCTGCAATATTCTCAAAGATTCTTGAGGATTATAGACGACATTAAACAGCAAAAAGCAAAGATTGTTGAAGATCTTCCATTGAAATTATACCAAGGGAAGGAAGAATCTTGAAGATCTTATCAAAGCAAACAACTGACAACAAACAGATGAAAGGTAAAAAATTTGAAATCTTTGAAGATCTTTGAAGATCTCTGCCTCATATTTTCATATGGCTAATTTCTTCAAAGATTTTGCAAGATCTTTGACAATAGTTGAAGATTTATTGAGAAAATTGGGTCTACGCATTAAAAAAATTATTTTTGTCCACAGCTAACCATCAAAGAAGATAGTATAAACAGTGTTTTTCTATCTCAAATTCTCACGCAAATATCCCTGATCATCATATGTTTCTCAGCTCTCTTAATGTCTCTGTCTCGAGCTATGTCGACCTATTCTGGTACCTTGGATCACAGTATGTTCATGGCGTTCTGCTTAGACATCTCAACCCAGACGTTTACTTGATAGGCGTCGCTCGGTCACCCAAAACTCCGCGGCGGTGAATCGTGGAGAGCCAACGTCAGTCCACGGCGTCAGATTCAACACTAATAACTCTCAGCAATTTCATATCAGTGGTCCGGTTATAGAATCAGCCCCCCGCGGCCAGCCGCCACCAATTATCACTGTCCCAGATCAGTGAGAATTTGCACTTCAACCAGTGGTCAGACACTACTTACAATGATCTAGAGCGAGCAAGTCATTGTTTGCTCTCGTCATCGGCATTAATAAGTACAAATCCGAGCCTCTGAGGGGGTGTAAGAAGGATGCTAAGGACGTGCGCGACTATCTACTTGAAGACTTGAAAGTTCCCAATTCACATATCCGCTTCCTGACTAACAAGAAAGCCAAGCGTGTCGACATCCTGGACGCGTTCAAGGAAATCCAAACCGACAAGCGTATCAAAAAGAACGACCCGATCTTGATTTACTTTGCAGGACATGGCGACGAAACTGACGCTCCGACTGGCTGGCCTTCTGGAGACGTAAACAATCAGATACAGATGATCATCCCGCAGGACTACTGCATCGATCCTGGAAAGGAGGTACACGGAATCCCCGATCATACTCTCGCAGCGTTACTGAACGGAATAGCGAATCAACATGGGGACAATATAGTAAGAAATTTCTCTTGACCTACCCTTGATATGGATGACACAAATCTCGTTTAGACCGTCATCTTCGACTGCTGCCATTCAGGCTCCGGGACGCGAGGAAGTCGTAACATCCGCGGCCTTAGCGAACGTATGAAACAATCTATACCAAAGGACCTTGACCGTGATATCTGGTCTACCGCCAGCGGGTCCCGTGGATCGAGCACTGCACCAGAATATACCAGAAGCGGATTAGCCAACCATGTCCTCTTGGCAGCATGCTCACAAAAAGAAAAAGCGCGTGACGCTGTCAATGGTGGGCCGTTCACCCAAGCCTTCCTTCCTACTCTCAAATCGGTGGGCGCGGATAAACTTACATATGCCTCTCTTCTTGAGAGAATGGACAAGATACCATTGTAAGTCTACCCAACTGAGATATCTCCAAGACTAATGTCGTTTCCACAGCCAAAACCCCCAGTGCGAAGGGGTGAACCAAAATCGCATCATTTTCGACTCCAGAGCACCTACAACGGGACGTGTATGTTTTCCTATCAAGATGAAGGACTCAGCATACGAGATGCAAGCCGGGTCTGCACATGGTGTCACAGAGGGTTCTGAATTCAGTCTGTACAACGACAGTCTCACCATTGACGACTCATCCCCCCTCTGTGTCTTCGTTGTTGCTTCTGCGGCCCACATTGGCCCATTCACCACAACACTGAACAAACATACGTCCAGTGCTGCCGTCACCCCTCTTTCCCCACCTTCTTGCGTTTTGCAAACGAAAGCCGGGAAACCGGAGGATCTTCTAGTGTATGCTTCGCTCGATGAAAGGCTTACCAGATTGTATGAGACTTTGGTGACAATGATGGAGGAGTTCCATCCTAGTAAGAGGCAAATCCGGCTTGTCGAAGAGAAGGAAAAGGCGAGACTCGGCCTTTCCATTGTGGACAACAGAATAGCGTTTGACAATTTCGATTCGCGTCTCGCAGAGTACGGTTTGACGCGTATGCCTCATACCGTAGCAAACGACCCGCAGGAAATTATTCCTGTCCTTCATGGCGCTGCCCATTTCTATTGGCATCTTAACCGCGAGGTCAAAAATACTCTCGTCAACACCCACATCGTCATTGAATGCAATACCCTCAAATACACAGGTGATTACGATATATCGGGAAAGCCAATTCTGGAGGCGACTGGGGACAACCTCTTACAGCTCGACGGTGTCATTGACGTCGTTGCGTCAGAGGGGACGATGTACGGATATAAAATTACTAACGAAAGCAAGCGCGATCTCTACATCAACCCCTTTTACTTTGACAACACTGACTTTAGCATTCGTAAGTTATGATATTTACTACCACTGGACATCGTTAAGCCCACCCCCTTCTCCAGAAACATATTACCAATCACCAACAAGCGGTAAATTTGAAACCTATCCCACCCTCACTCGAGGTGGTGGCTCTCTCACCCTCGGCTATGGCTCTAGCGGGGTTAACCCATTCACCTATTGCCTAGAGGAAGGCACCGACATTGACGTGGGGTATTTAGTATTCTTCATTTCCTTGGAGAACGTCAATCTCTCTACTATCCCACAGGAGACGCTGTTTGAGGGTCCGGGACGCAAGTTTGTGCAAAAGAAGCTCCCTGCACAACCAATTTACGGCACTATCTTGGTGCCCATTGTTCAGCGCCGTTATCCAGACCAAGAAATTGCAGAGCTGGAATCTATCAATGCCAACGACTCGGAGACGAAAGAGAAAGATGCGTTGGCGCGAACGGATGAACTTGCGCAGGAGTGTGCCCAGCTCCGCGCGACAGTGACAGCACAGGGCAAGAGACTAGCCCACTTGGAGTTGCAACTAAAATTGTTGCAGGAAGCGCAGGAGAAAATGGCATCTGAGCTAATTGGCAAATCTCATGATCATACGTCCAGTTCCACTCCCTCTTCACACAGCAAAGACGGTGCAGATTTAGCATCTAAAGATGAAAAGTCAACGGAAACCACGGGTCCTGACTACGGTGCGCCCTATCCCGAAAGCCCGACTTCTGGCTTCAATGCCCTAATTCATTCACGCAGTATATTACCGTCTATACACCAAACTTGGCGCTTTCGAATCAAATCACCCTCTCTACAAGAACGACCGTTTCATTGGTCGCATTCCAACAAAGTCCTTTTCCCCTCCTCATACCGTGGCGTCTATCAAGCTGTCCCTGTGCGGACTTGAGGGCCTGTCGGAGCCTGACAAGGCGCTTCTCTTCACACCGCTCTCAAGCCCAGCACCCAAAGACGACTCTGCCCACCTCTCTTTGGAGGGTCCTTCAGGGCCAGGCCTGTCCGAACAGCAGCCGATCGCGTTGGTTGTCGAGTCCGAAATGAGGACCAAGGAGGTCGCCGCGCAGTTGGAGAAGCTGCCGGAACGCTCTCATGATGCCGAGATCCATTACGGCAAGTCTCGTCGACGTCTCTTACTCATATAATGCACTCATCAGCTTGACAGTTTACTATCGCGTTTACTTATCAGGTGGAAAAGGAGATGAAAAGGCAAAAACGTCCTTTGACAAGAGTGATATTTCGTTAGGACGCATCAACACCCTCTTCATCGCTCCCCCTCACACCGCTGGATCTTTGAAAGCATGCATCGCAAAAGTTGAAGGCCTTCGAGTCACGCAGGGTCATGCGCTCTACAAGGATAAGGATATACTAATGAGCGACACCGACGTCATAACCTTCCAAGATAAAACTTATCCAGGTAGTGATAAAGGCAATCCCGTTGCCCTTGCGACCGATTCAAAATTCACGAAACGCGCTCAGTTAACGTCGACTTACAGTGAGTAACATTTCATGAGATAATGCGATTCTCAGCCTTTTCCACCGCAGACTACAAAGTATTATTTTCTCCCACCTGGCTATCAACAAATAAAAATGAGATCGTTCACACGGACGGAGTTATCGTCACTGATGGTATTTCTTTCCTTTCCTACCACTTTGTCAACCGTCTGAAGTAGACGCTTCAAGTTGTTGGAAGACAGTCTTACCCAGTATACATGGTGATTGATTCGAAGGGTCGAAAAGGATGTGAGTCTTCAATTTGCATTCGGGTTACTAGGTCGTTATTGATTTTCTTTGGCAGTTGTACACAAGGGTGAGTGGTCTCCTAACTCTATCAGAGTGCTTGATATCCATCGTTTTGCTAGCTAAAATCACCTTGATTGATCGCTGAATATCAGAGCGTGTGTCTGCTTTCGGGATGGGAATTGTCGGAACTCAAGTGGGCTGAGATGGTACCGGTCCCATAGATCATGTACCATTAGTAACGAGGACTCACCGATTATGAAGAACGGCATCGTGCAACTTGCAATACCAACGGTTGACGCTTTCAGATGTTCAGTCCTGCTCAAATATTCAAATCGCAGCTATGCAACTTACGCTCGTCCTCCCACAACGTTCGCGACCATGGATTATTCTGAGCGGAGAACGGAACGGGATACGTCTCGTAGACTTCTTTAGCGAAAGCATTGGCAACCCTCATCGCTGTCGTCATACATAGTTCCTTGGCTACAAGCCCCCGTCCGAGATTGGTCGGAAGGACATCTGGATACGTAAATGACACCAGCCATGTTGTCGGCAAACTGGAACCACAAAACCTTGACAAAACCTTTGCATTTAGCACTCAAATTGGCCAATTTCAGCAGTACAATTATTGTGACTTTGGCTTACAGGAGGGGTCATGTATAGCTTAGCTACCTCTGAACTCTTTCGCTCAAAGTTCATTTTACTACAAGGTTATCGCGGGGTCAACGCAGGGTACTGTGCGACTTTCTCGATTGTAACTCATGTTACTTATCTTGATGTTATCCTACGTTCGCAGAAAGTACAATCGGATTGACTACCAGCGTTGAGTCTACGAGGCAGACCACTCCCCTCCTTGAAACAAAGGAACGGTAGAACGACCCTTCAACCGGACAGCGGTGAAGAAAAGGGCAAACATACTTTGTCAATGACAACATGAGTTGGGTCATTCAATGGGGATGCACATTACTTACAGGCTTTGTCGGAGCCTTATCCCCATGTGAAGTGATGGTGGGGAGCACTCAGCATACTTTTTACTCAAGATCGAAGGTACATCGTCAGCCAACATGTGGGCGTGGAAATTGCGTGGAAACCGTGACGGATATCGCAATTCGTGGTCAAAGGTGTGAGATGGGGAAACAGTGAAAGGATATTGCCGACTCATAGCTAAGTAATACGTGGATGAGACCTCGCTCTCGATACACAGATAAAATCACATATTAAAAGGGAGGAATTTGGTAACCAGCCCCGCTGGCAAAGCTCCAACCACAGGGCCATCCACATTGAAGTCAACGTTCTTGAAATCAAATTGCAGGCCGTTTATGGGTAATCCATCAAACCTTTTAAACCCAAGTAAGAAACGGCAGAAGTTGGGTTTCATGTGCAGAACTATACTTACTTCACATTGGCTGACCTAATTGCGACACTGACCTTGGGATACATTGATATGTCCCAAAGTGAGGTCAACACGTTCTTACAAAGTTTTGCATGTGTCCGGTCTGTTTTCCCTTCAGCTACACCTTTCTTTGAATTTGAATTCAGTGAGCCAGTCGTCGTTCAACGGTAGAAGAAAAGACGATAAAACGCACTTCTACGGTGAAGTTGTCCAAACCCCCTTCGAGAAGGTCATCTCCTCCAACCGTTGCGACAAAATTGAGCTTCACGATTTCCATTTTGAACTGTTGAAGAGGATGTTCTAAATAGAAAACGAAGATGTCAATTGATTACTTGTGAACCTGAGATACATATGCCCACTGATGGTGATGGTATAGTCGGCGTTACCTCCGAAAATGCCTAATCGCACCCAAGCAGTGATACCTGTGACGCCCAGCGTTGCGATTCCCCTAATTTGCGCCTTGAGTTCCAGTGCTGAGGTCGTATTGAGGATAAGAGGGATATCGTTCTCGGTAGTCAAGTACTCCTTGAAAAACTTCGTGCCATCGGAATTGAGATTTGTCCCGTTTTCAAAGAAATGGGCTTCAAGCTCAAGCTCGCGGCTACCGTTGGAAAAATCTAATGTCTGGTTGATCCGTGAGTAAGGGGAACTCCTAAAGAGAATACGATCCCTTCCCACCTGACTTTTGATTCTACCGATCTGTCATCTAATGAGCCTTTCAGAAGAATCTTACATCGTAAATGCATACCTTTGCGGTCCCGTACTTGATGGTAGCCTCCACCTCTATGGGCACAGGAATGACGGAATCCGTGGTCGCCGTGAATATACCGATCATGGCCCTTGATTCAACACGGTCAAAGGTGAGATCATTTAGTTCGACGACGGGATTCTTTGGCATGATGGCTAGGCTTGAGAGGGAATGCAGAAATGTGGTCGATGAGATGGGTGGTTTGAGAAAGAGCACTTTGAAGCCTGGTATTTATATTCAATTGGTTGATCTGTATGTAAAGCTGGCGAGTCACAGATCCGATCCAACTCCTGCTGTACGTTCTTATCGTAGCCTGGTTCGGAGCTGTCCGCCTGAACATGAGATTCTGAAACACAAATTCGTGAGATTACTGCAAGGTTCACTTCTGTGTCTTCACAAGACCCAACGCTTTAAGTGCGTGCAGAATCCGATCGCACATCTTCGATTCAGATAATCAGTCTCTTCAGAAAAAAAATCAAATCTGGTCACAGAATCTTAAGTTGAAACGGACACGCACATACGTGTGTTCGGGGTGTGAAACGCCACTAGTCTGCTGAGTACTGAGGGTTCCAGCCACTGCGTTGGGATGAGCCCTGCAGGTGGGGCAAGATGGACGTTTAGAGCATTTGATGATAGAAAATCACCATGTTCTGCTTCCTCATGGCTTCCTCACTGACGCCTTAAGTTTCGATCAGCATTTCTATAAACAGACCAGGAGATATATTCGGCGCTTGGAAGTCACAGCACTTGTGAAGCATGTGAAGTATCGGCTGGGGTGGCATTGAATCAGATTTCCCGCTTTGACCTCTCTCCCCCCGCTCCCTCCGTCCCCTCTTTTACACATTTCCCTCTCTTTCTCCTCTCTTCAGCTTCCGCGCCGTTGAAGCTCGTACTAACTCCCCCTCTCCTTCTTATCTGGCCGGTTTAGACCCAACCTCTCGCCTTCACCTCCTTGCCCTCTTTTCCCGATCCCCATGTAAACTCCTCCGGATGCGTGAGCAAGAGGAGTTGCTGGGGCTTGTTACGCATGCGTTGGATGTTGGTGAGGGGTGCGTCGCGCCAAGAACGAGGGAATGGTGGAAGAGGAATGTGCATAAATTGAAGTCGAATTTTCAGCGTCTCCTGAAATGAAAATTCAATGATGACTCATCTGACCCTCACTGTCATATACTGATCAATGTCGCTCGACGACGCCGCTGACTCTCAGCGCGTATTGAGTATTCAGTCTCACGTTGTCTTTGGCTATGTTGGCGGGAAAGCAGCCGTCTTTCCACTCCAATGTCTAGGCTACGATGTCGATGTACCTTGTCTTTTTCTCTTCCAATCCACCCAACTAACCTACACACTCTCAGGTCGTCAACACCGTTAACTTTTCTAACCACTCCGGTAAATTTCTCCCTCCTCCTTCTCATACCACACCACTTACCTCGTCTACTTTTGCAGGGTACGGTCGTTCTGGTGGCACAAAAACAACAGCAACAGAGCTAAACAGCATATTCGAAGGAATGGAAACAAACGAGCTCCTCATGCCCACCAGGCTCTTGACGGGCTATATACCAGGAGCGGAGGCCCTCACAGCCGTCGCACAGCTCGCGCAAAAGTTGAAGGCGACGAAGGAGGGATTGATATATCTTTTGGATCGTACGTCCTCCCCTCTACACTCGGATCATCAATCAAGGATTGACCTTGTGTGGTATGTAGCTGTAATGGGCGACGCAGGCCAACTGTACGTTGCTGCGGACGTTATCCCAGTATACAAGGACCTATTACCACTGGCTACGGTCATAACACCCAACTGGTTCGAAGTCGAGTACGCTCTCTGTTACCCTTCGCTATAAATAACCTTTCTCACCCACTCTTAATTCTACAGTGTTAACAGACACAAAACTGAAAGACTTCCCATCACTACACACCGCCCTCCGCATCCTACACGAAAAATACCACGTCCCACACGTCGTCATCTCCTCTATTCCTCTCAAACCATGGCTACTCGCCGCCCTTCCAGAACATATAAAACCAGACGCGAATTCTGTAGATTCAAATGAACACCTCCTCTGCATCTCCTCCTCCTCTGCATCTCCTCCTCCTCTGCATCTCCTCCTCCTCTGCATCTCCTCCTCCTCTGCATCTCCTCCTCCTCATCATCTCACTCTTCGAAAGATCGCCTACGTCCATCGATCGTACACGCCCAATGCGTCCCCTTGATCCCAGGATACTTTTCCGGCGTCGGAGACCTGTTCTCCGCTCTCCTCTTGGCGCGCTTCCATCCTACAAAACCTATCGTTAACGGGTCTTCTAACCCTGGCACCGACATTCCCAACACTATCCATCAAAACACCACCACAACCGACGGCATCCTCACCCCCCTCACAACCCCCTCCACCCCCTCTTCCTCCTCCTTCTTCTCAAGCACACCCCTCTCAATAGCAGCCTCCCTCGCCCTCCACAAAACGCACTCCATCCTCCTCTTAACCCACTCATCAGCCCAATCCCTCCCATACGAAGAAAGACAACCGACAGATGACGAGTTGGACGCGTTGGAGCCGTTGAGGAAGACGAGGAGGATGAGGGGGCGGGAGTTGGCGCTTGTTAGAGGGCAGGGCATTATACGTGGAGATGTAAAGGGGCAGGGGAGGCAATTGGTTTTTTGGGATGGGTTTTGGGATTTGTAGGGATGATTTGTAGACTTGCCATTTGGTTTTGCGTTGACTCTTCTCATACTCTCACTTTCTACGCACACGAACACATCAATCATAGAAAAATTCCTTACACTCTCCCAACTTATAATTAATTATCCCCCCGTCCCCAATTTATCCAATGACACAACGCCCTTCTCGAACCACTCCTCACGCGATATCCAAAAGTCCTCACGGCCCTTCATGATATCCGCCAACACCGCACCTCCAAGGAAAACCATGTGTTTCCTGCGAGGGGGATCTTCGATCTTGATTTTGAATTTCTGTTTGTGTGTTTGAATGTAAGCGTCAGGAGAACGAATCACGTCCAGAAGGAAGAAAGAAAAAAAGGAGGGAAGAAGGTACCACAAAAGAAAAGAGAAAGCAAGAGAAACTTACATTCAACCGCGCCGGATCCCCACCCAACACCCTCGTCAAATAAAGCTGCTTCATCTCCTTTTCCAACCTGCTCGGAAGACCTGGGTACATGCTTGATCCACCGGACAGGACGACGTGTTTGTAGAGCTCCGTCCACTGGTGCGGTTTGAATTGTTTGGAATAGCATTTCTACGTTACGTTGTGAGTGTTCAGTAGGGTATAAAAGAGGACAATGGATGGGGGGAAGGAGGGGAAGGACGTACCAGCTACACCGGGCTGTTCAATGTCGACTAGGTGAGGCTGGAACATGCATTCTGGGGCTTCGAATCGTTCTGCGCCGACTTTGATGGTACGTCCGTCTGGGAGCTGTCATCACAGTTCAGTGTATAGAAAGAGAGGAAGGAAAGAAAGAAAGAAACCTACAGTATAACTCTCCACCAACACCGTAGTCTCCTCTGAAAGACGCGTATCAAGTTCAAGATCATAACTACCCAATCCCACAATCAGATAAGATGCATACAGGAAGGAAGGGGGGGGAACAGACAGACAGACCTAACATAAGGTAACTTCTCCTTGATCTCTCTGACCGTCTCGAAATCCGCCGTGCGATTGAACGCGTACCCGCGCATAAGGAGCAGCTTGATCAGATATCGTGTCACGTCCCGCCCAGCGATGTCTAATCGCCGCGTGAGGTGCGGCATCGCGTACCCGTCGTACACGGGCACGATGTGCGTTACGCCGTCTCCCGAGTCGACGACAACACCCGTCGTCAGACCTAATTGTAATCCGCATTAGCCCTCGTCGATGCTCCCCATTACGACATTTGATGAAGCAAAAGAAAACTCACCCTGCGCATAAAGCGTCAACACAGCCTGAATAGCAACATACACTCCCTGGAACCCATACTCCTCAAACATAACCTGACACATCCTCTGCCTGTTCACTTTCGGGTTCATCGGCGGTTCCGTCAGCAGGACCTTCCGGCCCCTCGTATTGACCTTCAACTTCTCATCAAACGTATAATCCCATAGATGTTTCATGTCTTCCCAGTTTTTGACGATGCCGTGTTCCATTGGTTGCGTTACTTGGAGGTAGGTGCGGTTGGAAGCCGCTTCGTCGCCTACCATTATGTCTTTGATTAGGGCGGACCCGACTCGTTCTTCTGCGCGGAGGATGGGGCGGCCGATTATGGATGGGAATACTAGATGTTATTATAAGTAACTCGTTCAGAGTTATGGGGGATTAAGGCGTTACCGTGTTCTGGGAAATTAGACCCTGCATATCCCACTTTCACGAACTATGTATGACGATGGCGATGAGGGTTTGGTGCTTTCGCTGGAGAAGTCTATGAGACGTACCCCCGTTCCGTTGTCCACTACCAGTGGGTGCTCAGAGTAATCCATGGTCGCGAACGTCGTATGAGTCCGAGCGTAAGTTGGATAGCCGCGATATCTGTGCTACTTAGGATGTTTGTCGTGCTTTGTTCCGCATCCTTTATTCTTGTGATCTTTACGGCTTTTTCTACGATCTGAGGAATTTGAATAAACAAATGGACGTGCGCGTATGCGAGAGTTTTGGGTTTTGTTCGTGTATATCTTACACCTTATTATGTATCGCTTGAATGTTTGAGTAGGACTAAACATTTGAAAGCGTCAACCGTCGGCATTGCGATATCGATGCCGTTCTTCATAATCAGTGAATCCTCGTTACTGGTGGTACATGTTAACGGATCTAGTACAGAACCGGTACATTGACCCTATCTGAGCCTACTTGAGTTCTGACACATCCTCCCGAAAGCAGACGCACTTTCTGATATTCAGCGATCAATCAAGGTGATTTTAGCTAGCAAAATGATGGATAACAAATACTCCAACAGAGGGATGAGACCACTCACCCTTGTGTACAACTGCCAAAAAAAATCAATAACGACCTAGTAACCAAATGTTGGAGACTCACAGCCTTTTTCACCCTTCGAATTAATCACCAAGTATCCTGGGTAAGACTGTCTTCCAACAACTTGAAGCGTGAACTTTCAACGGTTAACAAAGTGGCAGGAAAGGAAAGAAATACCGTCAGTGACGATAACTCCGTCCGTGTGAACGATCTCATCTTTGTTTGTTGATAGCCAGGTGGGAGAAAATAATACTTTGTAGTCTGCGGGGGGAAAGGCTGAGAATCGGATTATCTCATGAAATGTTACTCACTGTAAGTCGAAGTTAACTGAGCGCGTTTCGTGAATTTTGAATCGGTCGCAAGGGCAACGGGATTGCCTTCATCACTACCTGGATAAGTTTTATCTTGGAAGGTTATGACGTCGGTGTCACTCATTAGTATATCCTTATCCTTGTAGAGCGCATGACCCTGCGTGACTCGGAGGCCTTCAACTTTTGCGATGCATGCTTTCAAAGACCCGGCGGTGTGGGGGGGAGTGATGAAGAGGGTGTTGATGCGTCCTAACGAAATATCACTCTTGTCAAAGGACGTCTTTGCCTTTTCATCTCCTTTTCCACCTAATAAGTAAACGCGATAGTATACTGTTAAGCTGATGAGTGCACCATATGAGTAAGAGACGTCGACAAGACTTGCCGTAATGGACCTTGGTATCATCAGAGCGTTTCGGCAGCTTCTCCAACTGCGCAGCGACCTCCTCGGTCCTCATTTCGGACTCGACAACCAACGCGATCGGATCCTGTTCGGACAGGCCTGGACCTGAAGGACCCTCCAAAGAGAGGCGGGCAGAGTCGGCTTTGGGTGCTGGGCTTGAGAGCGGTGTGAAGAGAAGCGCCTTGTCGGGCTCCGACAGGCCCTCAAGTCTGCACAGGGACAGCTTGATAGACGCCACGGTATGAGGAGGGGAAAAGGACTTCGTTGGGATGCGACCAATGAAACGGTCGTTCTTGTAGAGAGGGTGATTTGATTCGAATGCGCCTAGTCTGGTGTATAGACGGTAATATACTGCGTGAATGGGTTAGGGCATTGAGGCCAGGAGTCGAGCTTTCGGGATAGGGCGCACCGTAGTCAGGACCCGTGTTTTTCGTTGACTTTTCATCTTTGGATGCTGGATCTGCACCCCCTTTGCCATCTGGAGAGGGAGTGGAACTGGATGTATGATTATCAGATTTGCCACTTAGCTCAGATGCCATTTTCTCCTGCGCTTCCTGCGATAATTTCAGTTGCAACTCCAAATGGGCTAGTGTCTTGCTGTGTGTCGTCACTGTCGCGCGGAGCTGGGCACACTCCTGCGCAAGTTCAGCCGTTCGCGCCAACACATCTTGCTCTTTTGTTTCCCGGAGCTTAATCAAGGATTGAGACAAGTCAGACACAGTAGCTGTGAGATCTTCGCAAAGTCTTTCAAGTTGCGACCTTTGGTAGGCATCATGAGAGTTGCCGTCGAGTAGGGATCGGATCTGTAATTGACTTTGAAGGATTTCCTTGGCATGTTGAGTTTTCAGAAGCTCGAGTTCATGTTGAAGCTCAATATGGCGGATGTTATCCAAGTCGAGTTCCCTTTGCTGAGAAATACTCAATTCTGAGCGATCACTCCAAAAGGAATAGATTGTAACACTCCCACCTTCGCCAACACCTCCCTCTCTCGCCTTGGCGGCGGTATAGCGCTGACAAGCTCTGACCCGTCGGAATGCACCTCCTGGTCTAGATTGCGCTGCTTTGTCACCAATTCCTCAAGTTGCGCTTTCAACGCAATGCATTCATCTTCCAACGCCTCCCTCGCTACTTTGTCGCTGGTGTTGATGGATTTCAACTCTGCAATTTTTTGGTTCAAGTCGGAAATGTCCTTCTCTTGCTGACGGTTAAGCTCTTGAAGTTCCTTGTACAGCACCACACCAGCAGAAGTCTTCTCCACAGTCTTCCCCTCAGCGAGCTCCCTCTGCATCTCGACAAAGACGGGATTGAGCGCGAGGAGGTCGGAGACGATAGAGATTGGAGGGGGAAACTCTGGACCTTTGGGTGACTTTTCCGGAGAATATTTTCCAAAGCGAGCGAATCTGCATTTACCGTCGACGAGTTCTTTGAAGAACTTATCCTTGGTCTTCAACTCTGCTTCGTTTTTGACACCTTGCGTCATATTTACTTCGTCCCAAAATGTGGTAACGACCACGACATTCTTCAGAGGATCAGGTCCGCATAATTTCTTGAACATCGCTATATTTCGCTGCGATGAACCCCCAACTTTGGGATCGGCGATGTTGTGCAAATATAGAATGCCAGAAAACTTGCGTTTCTTGTCATATCTGTACGTCAATGAAGGTTAGATCGTCAATATATGGAGGGACAGATCTCTCACTTCGCTTTGAGGTAACCACCAATTTCTCTCAAAATTACTAGGTCGGATTTGCCACCACTCTCATTATAGTCATTGAAACCAGGCGTGTCAGCGAGAGTCACAGGAATGCCATTGGGAATCAAGAATTCGTATTCTTTAACCTCCGCAGTTTGCGACTCCAAGCCGTGTCCAACATCCGTAACGTCCTTGCCGACAATGGTGTTGATGAACTTTTAGAATGTCAAGAGTGGTGGCGGCGGCAGTGGACTAGCCCATACCGTCGATTTTCCACATCCAGTCCCTCCCATAATTCTGTGGTAGTGGTACGTCAGCTCAACTTCATGCAACAAAAAGTGCTCCACTAAACGTACGCTATCAAAGCAGCTGGCTTCATTGTTGGTACAAATCGTGCGTGTAGGAGATTTGAGAAGTCACAGTCGGAGTCCTAACAAAAAGTGAGCCTATGAGTGTCGTTTTGATGACTTTTGATTTGCTCTCTCAATTCAAGCGCACCTCATGGCAACCTCATGGGCGAGACGCTCAAACCGAGAGCCAGGGCTATGCTTCAAGGCCTAATCACCTACTGAGCCCGGGCAAACTCTATCCAAGCAACGTGGAAGCCAGGCTACCAACCCCGCAGGTGCAGAACTTCCCCATCTAGATGAGCCGCTTTGAAAGCTGTCGAAGGCGGGCCTTTTAATGCTCCTTATCTAGTAGACAGGTAAGTCGGAGACAAATTGTTGACGTCACAATGTTGAAGCTGAAGGACCGAGTACTTGTGCGGTGATAAACAAGTGATAAAGATGTGCCAGTGACTATTGACCATTACAAAGACGATGGCGATGAGTATTGGTGCTTTCGCTGGATAAGTCTGTGAGAGACGTACCCCCGTTCCGTTGTCCACTACTAGTGGGTGCTCAGAGTAATCCATGGTCGCGAACGTCGTAGGAGTCCGAGCGTAAGTTGGATAACTGCGATCGCTGCGATATCTATTTGATATCTATGTCACTTAGGATGTTTGTCGTGCTTTGTTCCGCATCCTTTATTCATGAAATTGTACTCAACGGCCGACATGGCAATAAATCAACAGAAAAGAATGATATGTTGTCAATTTGAGGATATAATGAGCTGCGTGCCGTACAAGTCGCATGGCAGAAATGATTTACGAGGATATATCAACTCCAAACTCCTCCCCGATGGTTTGATATCCCTCACCCAAGTCGTAATATTTGAATGATATCGTCTTGATCGGCTTTCCAGCTCTGGCGCGCAATCCTAGGAAGGCCCGAAGAACCTTTAGCCTACGCCCGTCATCCATCTTGAAGTCACAAGCGCTAAACTCCAAAGCCTGAAGTGAAGGCAATATGACGTCTTGAACTTCCTTGGCAGATGACTCATAAAATTGCTGTTCAAGGTGGGGGAACAGGATGAGATGTAAATATCCCACTAGATGCAGGATTACCAAATTGTGGAAGAAACGGAGAATCCAGAGGCCGAGAATCTTAATGGATGTAGACTCGGAGTCGCTCGGCGGGTCGTATTCATCAAGGAGGTAACTTGAATGCATTTGAAGCGACCTAACACCGCGAAAGATCGGGAAGAAAACCTCTGGAAGAGAGAAGCAAATCATCGGAGCTGTGGTCTGCTCCGGTACATCTTGAGATCCTTCCCAATCGAAGGTAACTAGAATATCAGGATTGATTGGGTCGTGGTTGCTACACCTGAGCCAGAGGGAATGGGGCTCTATGGATGCGAGACATTCACAGTTGACCATATTATGTGCCCAACCATCCATCCTTTCTTCAAGAAATCTCACTATGAATTCAGAATCGGGATTGAAATGAAGCCTGTAGGTTGTCAATGAGAGTCTTTCGAGAGGAGGGATGTCGATGTGTCTGAGGAAACTGCTGCACTCAGCCAGGGGTGAACTTAGACTGAGATCTGATAAATGTGGAAGTTGGGCTCGGGGCAAAGGTACCGTGCTCGGTAACGTTCTGGAAATGGACATTGATATGAGGAGCTTTTTCAGTCGGGGAATGTTGTTCAGGAGATTGAGCCATTCCGAAACCGTCGGGCCTGCAAATCCATGGGCCCACGAAACTTCGAGGCATGTGAGTTGAGAAAACGCAGCCGTCGTGATGTCGAAGCGACAGCAGTTAAAATGCACTTTCCTGAGCTTTGGGGCTTCTCCGTTGAATAGAATCTTTGGCAGGGTCGTAACACCAGCCTCGCCCTTCCAATGTGGATACACACCGAACACTTCCAAATGAGGCGCCGGTTTCTGGATTGCGTTCAAGAATCCCTCCGTAAACCCTTTGACTTTAAGACAAAAGGTCCTGCATTGAGGAGCCAAGTCTAGGACGAGATCTAAGTGTTTTGGCCGGCATGCGGCCGTGCAGCAGCCAATGTTCAGCGGCATGTGCTTTGAACGACCAAGTAGCTCTTGAGTCCATTCAAGCGAGTCCTTCTCAAAGTCCATAATTGATGTCCAGAGTATCGCGGAATTCAAGGCAACGGCGCGCCAATGGCGGCATACCTGCGACGCAGATCGGATTGTACGTTTCTGCTGTTCGAGACAAGTTGTGAGATGGCGACATGGCGGTAGGTTTATGAGAAATATAGATATCAGGATCTCATCTGGGAGCTTCGATATTGGCGAGACGCCGGACGTGAATTCATCGATGCTCATGATCAGTTGAGTGAACAAAGAAAATAACGACTCGGATTTCCGAGCATTATTTCCCCACGCCCTGCAACCTCCGAAAACACTGAGGGTTTGAGTATAAAAGTGTATAAATAGGTATGTTAACGTCAAGCCTCATGATCAGGGATCTGTCCGGCCTCCGAGACGCCCTCAAAAATTTGCAGGAAGTGGTGTTGACTAAGGTGAAATAGTAAAACGCAAGAGACTACACGAGACCAGTACTTACACAGTAGTGGTAATTACCGGTAAAGATGGGATTCATTGAGCCGGGATTGAACACCACGCAGAAACAATTTACAAGCCGTATGGTCGCTTGACAACGGACAGGGCCGATATGATCAGGAAATGTTTCCCTCAATTGTGACTTTGTTTGGTTGCCTCCACACAACTTCGCTTCCTTCCTCGATTTCTGGTCAACTGTGCCAATTCCTGTCTTTTACTCTACACTCGTTCCTCTTTTTCGCTCACTTTTGGCTCTATTGACGTTAAAATACCCTCGAAACACAACAAAACTGACCACTCGTTATCATGACTGACCAGATTCTACACCAGCGCGCTGTACACAGGCGAAGCGCAAAAGCCCGCAGGCAGGGGCCAGAGAATGTGGTAACCCCCGCGGCCCCTGCGGCGGCTGCAGGCGATGCTGCAGACAAAGGACCCAAGGGTATGTATTCTTTGGTCTTGTAAGTAAAAAAAAACTCGACTAACCCCCCATCAGCGGCGGCTACAACCACCACCACAACTAATGCTGCTTCTCAGCCAGCGGTACCAACCACAACGACGTCTGTTACGACTTCCAGCACAACGACTTCTAGCGAGACGACTTCTTCTTCCACCTCCACTAAGCCGATCAAAGTGGCCCCTGTTACCACCCCTTCTACGACTACACCCGTACGATAATATCTCTTCCTCTTCACCAGCTTTATTCTTATCTTCCCCTTCCCGAAATAATAGGTGTTACCTTCGACGACGCAGACGAAACCGTCTCGCGCGCCCGTCACTTTGACATCTTTTGTGACGCAGCATTCATCATCGCCGGCAGCCAGTGCCTCTGCTTCACCGTCGTCGACAGGCAGCACGAGCACAGGTAGTATCGTTGGCAGCATCGCAGGAGGTGTTGTTGTCCTTGTAGTTGTTATAGCTATAGCAGGCTTTTTCATTGTCAGTCCATTTCTATTGGCTATCGGTGGGAGATGCTCAATTTAGCTTATATACAGCGTCGATGGCGTAAGAGAGCTGCGGAAAGGGATGAGTTCAGTCCAGACCGATTCCGTCGATCTGCCGTTCTGCTCGATGACGCCAATGATGAGCCTAGCTTCAAGCCACGTCCACCGTCCATGATCGAACGACGAACAGCACAATCTCCTGCTGCCCCGCCGTCGGCATATCCCTACTCTGATGCTGATTCTCCAACCCAGTACGGGTCTGATCAAAGAAACTTCCACAACTACGGTGCTGTTCCCGGTCAGAATGGACAATATAATGGTTCTCCCGGTCCTTATGGTGCTCCAAACCCTTTCGGTGCTCCTCCTATCCCACACAACGGTCAACAGTATCCTTCTTCCAACCAGGGGTATGTTCCAGGCGCTGCTCCCTATGGCGGGTATGGGGCTCCTGATGTGCGATACCTACAACGTCAACCATCCCAAGGCCCTCACTTCCCACAATACCCTGGCCCAGCTCAACAGTCTGCATTTGGCCCAGGTCAGATCATGCCGCCGCAGAACATTAGGACCCCGTCACCACATGAATTGAATGACTCCCTCCCCAATCCTTTCGCATCCGCCACCGCCATTGAGCATTCCACCTCGACTACATCCTCACGCAGTGCTGGTAGCCCCCCTCCAGGCAATCCGGGTGAGCAAGGCGCGTATCTCACTCGTCAGCCAACCCAAAATGGGGGTGCGCCGCCTGCGTACATGGATGATGGGTCGTACACGGAGATGAGGCGGGATGTGAAAGTGGCACCGTTGATGGTAGCTAATGTGGATGATAGCGCGGCACCATCGTCATCTTCCTCCCCTATGATGACAACTTCGGCTATTCCAGAGGCGGCTCCTGCTGCTTCCAGGCGTCCGTTGTCTACTCATACCATGTATGACGCTGATGACGCCTATGGAGGGATTTAAGAAAACCCATCCCCCTTGACCGGACTTCTCAATGTAACTTATTGTTTACTATAGAACTAACCTCGACACATCTTGGACGTGTGCCGCTCTGCTTCTCGTCGCATCGAGTTATCTGTACACCCTTCTATTCCCCCCCTCCCCATCTTGCATTTCACTATCGCTCAATCGACTTGTTATTTTATTTTATCTTGCCACATCTTGACGCCCTGATCCCATCCAATTCGATGCTCGTATTTTTTAACTTACTGTTCAGGGACCGTTTTCTTCTTTCCCTCCATATACGTACCATGTTTTCATGCTTACTTTCACGTATATGTGCACGCTGCTTTGGTCAATGACGTCGTCCTATATTCCTAGTTACCTATCGATTTCTTCTCCCTTATTTATTTCGTTGCCGCCAACAGTGTATGCATTGCGCAACTTCACGATTCTGTTGAATATCCATCTATCTTTTGCCCTATGTGGGCAACCTATAATTGCACTTGCACTTGGTGCTAGTATCTCAAAGGGGACACTTTTTTCGGTGGCACGCTTGCTGGATCCTGAGTTGAATGAGGAAAACTGTTGAAACCGCCAACCCGTCCCAAATCATTTCAAAGCGAATATGCTATAGCTATCGACAGTGGTGCTCTTGCAAATATATATACAAATGTGAATGAATGCGCTAAGGTGTAAATAGTCGTCACTAGCTGTATAATGGTCAAGTCTATTCTTCGGGATTCATAGTCCATACGTCGGAATCTTTGAGTGCGTTACGAACAATATTCGAGTTTCTCCTTGATATTTCATAGTGCGTCGGGGACGCTTTTCGGCGCAAGAGGAGGATCCTAGAAAGAAAAGGATGCAATTCAAATAACAATCAACAATCAGATGTTGGGGTATTGGCGGACTCACACTCTGCAAGCCTTTAGGTATGTTTGTTAGCGCACGACCGTGATGAGTGGTTAAATGAGCTCACAACGAGGTTTGACGAGATAAGAACCAGAGGTAGGCCAACACCACGACCACCGTGATTCGGACTTTCGAAAGAAAATGAGGGATTATACCTCACATGTAACTTGAAGGTCAACCTACCGGAAGAAGCATACGGCGCTCGTTGCATTTATGAAGGCAATAAAGCCAAACGCAGAGAGACCTGTTGGAGCGTTAGATGACCTTCACGACAGGTCGTTCAACAGAACTTATTCACCTTGGCTAATGAAGTACCGTGCAAGGGAGACCTCCCTGTTTTGCGCTTTCCGACATTGCTGCAAGGAGCGTAAGTTTGGAAAGAGCACAAAGCGATGAAAAAACATTTACAATAAAAACAAAAACGAGAGATATCAAGTCCATGAGCGTCGCAGCTAACTGTGAATACGTGTTGATGATCGGGGACACGCTTTAACTAAACAGAAGACGAACCATTGAATACTGTCGACACTGGGTAAGTTTTGAAGACATTTGATTTGTTAAAAATACTCACCCCAATTTTCTCAGCCATGACCTGATCGCCATAGTCGGGGAAACAGCCAGTTCCGCCAATCAGGGTGTAAAAGGATGACGGTATAGCTTCGATGCGAATGCAGAAAACCCAAATGTTCACAGCGAGTAGGCCTGAGTAACATGTTGCCAGAGGTATCAAAACCCGTCTATTGCGCCCAGAGAACGCGTAGGCTCTCATCACCATCACGGCTGGATTCAAGTAAGATGCTAAATCGTTGGTGAACTTGGCGAGACTCGAACCTTGAGAGAAAAATAGCTAGTAAGTCATATTATGAATTAATTTATTCGAATAGTGAGTGTGAAGAGACTTACAAATGGTGCGAGCAATCCATGAATAGGCCGTAAGACGTATTTGCACACTTCTGGACCGTGATTCCCGATGTAGGCCCACATGAACACTGGCCAGAAACAGAGGGGATAATAGCGGCAAAGAAGGTATGCGACCTTGATAGAGGACCATCGCGCTTGGTGGATCTGCGCATTCCATTGATCCCCTAATGATACCTGATCATACAGATGGAACGTACAAGGGAAACTTCCTTATCGAACCTAGCACGAAATATCAGCGTCCAAGTTTGCAGAACGGGGGGGGGGATCGGAACATACGACGCGAACCACTCATAAAGCTGCAAGGCGTACATCGCCGCGATAGCGTAGCGCACCTCTTGAATGGTGTCTACGCCACTTAATAGATCCTCCCACGTAAAGGTTGACATACGGATAGCTTCGCCGGATTCACCGAGGGCCTCAGCAGAGACCAAGGCGGCCTAGGAGCTCGTGAATGGTCAGATAAGTGATAGCGGAGCCTCTGCGGTTCGTATTGGTGTGAGGGGAGACGGCAAGGGGAGCATCGAAGGGCAGAGAGGCAACCTGCCAGCAACTGTCTAAGCTCAATACCGCCATATAAGTGACAGCATGTGCTAGTGGGGATGTAATTTAGTTCAATGGAGATTTGCCACGGACCCACGTCGCTGCTTGAGGTTAGCATCAAAACATAACACTATTGAGACACTTCCGGATTCCGACCATGAATTTGGCGACTTCAGTTTGTCGTCCCCTCCGCTCCCTGAATACCTATGCGCACCTCGTTGCGTCGCAGTTACCTCAGATACACCTCAGAAGCTATTATCTGGTCTTACATGTAAGGCTGTCAGTGAAGCTCATGGCCAGGCGTCCTTCGCATTTGAGAACGTGATGCATATGTCAAGCCAATGTCAAGCAAACGTTCTTGCGGTTATTTTATTACGTCGTGGCGCCCTGATAAGAATGTTTATCTTACGTAACTTCACTCTCCTGAACTTGGAAATCACGCACAGGACCCCCGAAAATCCTGCTAAATGATAGATACTGAAATTGCCGATTTCCAGATTCTTGTCCGTACCAATTTTGGCGAAGTCTGTCCGGATTTTATCTAGCCTAGACCAAAATTTCGAAAAGTTGTCCGAACTGCGTATCTAGCCCAAGTCAGGGCCAAATTTTTTTGTGCGGCAAAAGGTTCGAACCGCAGACCACACGTCAGGCTTCGTAAAGTACTATGACCTACCAGCACCTCGGCGCACCCTACGAGTCGGCGGTCACTGATCGTCACGAATTTTGGCTGGACAAGTGTGATGTTGCGTGACAACTTGGAAAACAAGAGTCACGCTTGTCCAGCCAAAATATGTGACAATCAGTGACTGCCGACTCGTAGGGTGCGCCGAGGTGCTGGTAGGTCATAGTACATACTTTTTAGCTACGCGACCATAGTTGTCCGGTTAGTATCTAGCCTCTGATTCTTCTCGCAAGCCTCTGTATCTAGCATTTTGCTGATTTTTTCGAAAACCTGTCCGGTTTGTACCTATCCTAGCGCCTCATTTTGAAAAATTCTGTCCGGATCGGTATCTACCATTTAGCAGGATTTTCGGGGGTCCTTCACGCACTAGCCGCTAGCGGGAGAATGTTCTAAAAAACTCGACGACCCTGCTCGAATGCAAACCTTTATGTTGCCGCGAAACAAGTGGGGCAGTCTGGGGCTCAGTAGGCTCGGTCACGATCTTCAATCGAATCATGTGCAATATGGGGTATCAGTATACAATTTTTTTGTAGTGACCTTCTCATCGCCCCGCAGAGTCAACAACCTCGTAGAGATGTTTGCCAAGTATGAAAGTGTGTATGACCCGGTTCACATATAGCTGTCCCGCATTCTTGAGCCGGAGGCAACCTCCTGACTCTTGCTTAAAAAGAGGGCTTGGTGGAAAGCGCCTATACCAACTGAAGCATATGGATATCCAGCGGAGCCAGAGGCCACCGTATAAGCTGGTTTGAGATTCTGATAATTTGATTGTGAAATGTAGGACGATGTGGGGTTACTTTCTGTCTGTGCAGCAGGGTGCAGCGGTGGAGGATCGAAAGTCACAGTCGACTGGGTATCATGGTGTATTCCTGGTGTGAAAGTTGGGTATCGAGGGTCCTGTGTGATGATTGAAGGGGCAAGTGAACGTCGGTTTTCCATCTCCATGTCTAACGGAGCTGTGGGATCGAAAGAGTGTGCATATCCTGGTGTAGGTCGTAGAACGGGTTTCTTGTAACGGCGATACCATCTGCGCGCAAAAATAAATAGGATGGCAAGCAAGAGAACAGCGAGTATGGTTCCAAAGACGCCACCAACAATGGGTCCAGCTCGCGCGCGAGTGGACGCCGTCGCCTTTGATACTCCTGGATGTGTGTTGTTGGCGGCGGTACTTGTGGTGTTGACCCCCGAGACCAAGGGAGATCCGTTTTGTATGAGTAAATCGGTGAGGGTGAGAGGGGTGAGAGTGTTTCCTCCTTGATATACAACGGTCAGGTTGTGAGGGCCATACGGAAGAGCTGGTGTCGCGAAAAATACTTGATTGAAGAGTGTGGATGAGTTTGAAGGTAGACCCGGAAGAACAAAAGCAACTGGAGATAGATCGTCTACGGTGTACAATGCGGGAGCTGGTTCATGAGGAAGCTCTGTTGGGATAAACCCTACCCAGCTTAGACCGACCCCTGAGAGAAGATTAGACTGCGCAACGAAAGATAATTATACTGCTAACCCGTGAACTGGAGATTCATTTGTGCACCATTGGTGCTTGTCATGTTCGCCGTGTCGCCCAGAGGCAACCAGCCTGGACCGTATTGTATATAGGGGTCCATATGATCGACGACGATAGTCGCGTTATCCAATGATACACCAAGGGAAGGTGTATACTCGATGTCGTCGAACCAAAAAGGTTGGCCATTGCTCGTCGCGCTCACAATAATGGTATGGTCCCCATCAGAAAGTTGGCTTTGTTCACAGAGTGGGTAGTTGTTCTCAGGATATTGGAACGGTGGGACGGTTGGAATGGCGACCCCGTCTATAAAACATGACCATTTGGGGTCAATGACTCCTGAGGTGTTGCGTATATTCATCGTCCCATAAACCATTACAGCTGATCCTGTAGTAGATAACTGTATTCAAGCGAGAACGATGAGAGGAGAACCATGACTACTCACCTTCAAAGCTATATGACAGGCTCCCACTTCCCTTCTTTAAGCCGTGCAAAGTGTTCTGATAGGGCAGGCCAAAGTTCCCCAGTTTACTCTGACTCCCGTTGTCCAATACCCATGGCCCTCCATTGTAGACTATGTGAGGATCTGTATCGTCGACTTTGATGGTTCGACTTGAACTGTTCAACATTCATGTATGAGGAACACCGTACTTGAGGAAGGCCAGGAACTAGTAGATATCTGAGAGGCGGTCAAGATCGGAGAAAGCGGCGAGAAGGAGTCACCCACCAACGCTTCGAAGAATCGGCTGATTATAACGTACTATAACTTGACAACATGAGCGAATGATGTGGGAAGATGGGGGCAGTTTTCCTAACATCCAGCGTGCCTGCCCTTCGTGAGCTTGGAAACGGTTATCAACACATCAAGATCAACAACGCTAACAGAAGCCTCAGGCGAAACTTATTCATTGAGCAGGGGCCTCCCACCCGAAGATTCCGTGACCTGACTCCCAGCACTTCAAGCTAGTTGATCACTTCGCCTGCATGACATCAACAGTCACAATCTACAAGTACAAACAAGCTTTCCGGAGTGCAATCTCACATGCAAAGCACTGTATGCAACACACTGTAAAACCTTGAGTTAATTATCAGGAACATGCCCACACACGTACAAGTACCAGCCGCCCATGCCTGCAAGCCACCAGAACTCGGCGTCAACCTTTCTGCTTGGTTATGGCGACCCCATCTGCCGTCATATTGTTTTTTAGTCTTCTTATCCTCGATATATGCTGGGCTCAGGACATAACTGTTGGTGTCAACGACACAAGATTGGTCACTATCCCAGCAAACATGTGAGGACTTACACTGGGCTTGCACGCGGCCCTGGCAGGAGTTGACTTAGATGTCTTTTGTCCAGTTGGATTGGGTCCGAAGTCTATCACCCGAATTGTGGTGGAATACGTTGGATATGGGGAAACGGCCAGAGTGTATCTCTGACATTCACAGGTAGGTCAAGTCTTCGCATTGTTACTGTGGATCCTCGAAGCCGCATTGTTAGGTACGCGTTTCTCACCCAATTGCATTTCAGGGACTAGAGTCACAATCAACTTCCTATACGCCGTCGATGGGTGGATCGGACAGGTTTCCCTCGATGGAACAAATGTCACTGAGGTCAATACTAACAAGGCCGGGGTAGCTGTCACCGACTGCCTGCCGCTCACATGGACCTCGGACGTCCTCATCCCGGGAAACCATACCGTCTCAGTTGCCTCCCTCGATCCAAACCTTGAGATCCAAGCTACATGGGTGAATATAAATAGCTTCGTGTATGTCTTGTTATGTCTCTCGAACTCGCTAGACGCTAATTCTCTTCCGATCTGCCCAGTTACACGGCCGCGTCGGTGCCATCGATGAGCACAACTATATCAACAAGCATAGCCATATCAACGAGCACAACCATCCCTGGACCTTCGGGCGATACAACTACATCCAAGCACAAGGCGCCAAAAATCGGCATCATTGTTGGAATCGTGACAGGAATCGTGGCTCTCCTATTCCTCCTTATCTGCACACTATTCCTTCGCCAACGGCGACGATCCTCGATTGAGACGGTCACACTGGACACTGTTGAAAAGTCCGCAGCCAATCCCATGGACCAATCATTCACAGGGATCTCTGGGTATAACAACCCAATTTTTCAAGATGGAACATCTCGTTACGAGGAGCAACGTATTCCACTGGACTCCATGAAAATAATGTCCCCTCCAACCCAAGCTATAACGGATGTGGTTGCATATCCCGAACTACTTCCATCACCACCTTCATCCACCGGGCAAAGGGATGTTCTCAACCGCTCAACAACAGAGTCACCCGTCTTCTCTCCTCCATCCATACTCTCTCAAAGTAAACACCTGCCTCCGCTTCCTGACTTTCCTGACACTGGAAGTTCTCCCCAAACATCTTCGGCATCTGCTCGCGATGCTCCGACCGACGGGTTGCTCTCAGAAAATCAATTGTCCGTTCTGCAAAGGCTTGCAGAGTGGAACATCCCAGGACCCGCTTTAGCTGCAGTTGTTGCGAGTTTGCGTAGTGGAGGGGGACATGTAGTGGGTGAGTCTGAGCTCGAGCCGAGCAGCTCGGGGCAGCAACCACCACCTCCTCGTACCGGGGAGGATGCTCCCCCTGAATATGACTTCAAGGGGTACTGACAGTGAAGGCAAAGCTATCGTTTGATCGGCCTTGTGTCATGTCATAATTATTCAGTGACTGCCTTGATTCGTGTTTATGGTTGTATTGTTTGATGGCTCATCTATATCTTCTTTTGCCAAGTCTACATACTCAAGTTTGACGCCAACTGTCAGCTCACTTGCTTGATTGTGTTGAAGATTATCGGGAGTCGACAAGATTACCATTGAAGTGGAGTTTCTTGGATACTATACTAGGACCAATGGGCGAAAGGAATACAGGGTTGTGTCTAGGTCAGCAATGCCATGCAGAAGAGCTTGGATGGCGGATTGAGAAAATATCTGTTATGTACTTGAAAAACAAATATTCTGTGCCGAAATAGGGCTAGAATTAGAAGCTGGCAGACCTAGCTAAAGCGAGGTGATATAAGGTATATGTGAACTGCAATGGGAACTTTGATGAATCGGAAAGATATGTGGTGCGGAACCCTGAGGCCCTCAACTAGGCGTGTATGATGGGGGTAATTCAACAACTTCCTCTTTAGAATCCATCATACGAACCCCACTGTCCTGGTGAAGAACATACCTTGATGACCCGCTTTCGCTACCTGGGGACAAGTTAAAAGCTGCCAGAGCCTCCTCCTGCTTTCGCATGGTGCGAGTAATCGTGTTGGAGTGATGTAAGTTTGCGGATGATGTATGGGAAGGCGATTCAATTTGAAGGCCTGCGGTAGACATGAAGGGAGTTGATTCTGACAAGAACACATTGTGGGATTCCCGTGTATTGTCTGGCGAGGCGAAGTTGCCTGTCGAAGCGGATGGCAGTGATAGCTCGGTGTCATCGTTCTTGCCCGCTTTTCGCCGCCTGAAATGAATGATAACTGCAGTTGAAACGATAATGGAGATCACAACAGCAGCAAAAACGGGGCCTATGATGATCCCCAAGTTTCTTGCATGCTTTACATGGTTATCTTTGGAAGGGCTCGAAATCTGAGCAGGCAGGGTCTTCGAGGTGGTTCCATTCATGACGACCAGAGTTCCTAGGACAAGCGGCGTCAAAGACGGATCACCGCCATGGGTAACGGTAATATTGTGCAAGCCGAAAGGAAGGGCGAGAGTCTCGAAAAACTTCTGATTGTACTGAGTGGGGATATCAGATTTGGGCAGACCAGGTAGAGTGAACGTCACAGCAGACTGATTATCAACGACGTATGACGCTGTCGTGGGGCCATGGGGTAACTCCGTGGGTTTAAAACCGTACCAGCTCAAACCCGTACCTGTCATGATAGTTAGCCTCAGAACAAGGACGTTTCGAGAATGCTCGATACTCACCGACAAAACTAAATTGCATTTGTGCGCCCTTTTGACTTGTATAGTTGGCAATGCCCCCTAAATCCGCCCATGACGAGTCCAGATGAATATCGGCATCCTTATGATCAACCAGAAGAGCCGTCTCGTTGACAATGAGGTTGGGGGAGGGAGTATAATTGATTTGATCGAACCAAAAGGTCTGTCCTTTGCTGGTGACGTGGACTTCCAGGACATGTGGTCCGTCGGCGAGATTATCCCACTGGCAAAGAGGCCAATTATTTTCAATGTATCCGAACGGCGGACTCGTGCCACTGGCAACACTGTCCATGAAGCACCCCCAGGACGGATCCGGAACGCCAGTCGAGTTATTAATGGAGATTGTCCCAGATACATAAACCTGAGAGCCTTAAACTGCGCTTGAGTGCGTTCTCAACTGCTATTTTGAAAGTACTCACCACTAAAAGAGAAAGAAAAGTTGGCGACGCCAGTCGTCCCGTGTAAAGAGTTGTTAAACGTTGCCCCAAAGTTCCCCTGCGTGTCATAGTTCTGGCCATTCACGGTGATCCAAGGTCCAACGTAACGGATGAGGCTGCTAGTATCGTCGATGACCACTTTGCGAGTGACAGATGAGGACATGGCGACTCGTCCCCGTCGTCACCTAGGAAAGAAAAAATGACAGTGGCAAAGAGCGTGAACACATCAGGGTGGCGGTGTGTATACATCGCCACATTTTCAATTATGGCTTCGATGGAAACTTGACATCAAGTCGGGAAGGAGGTGGAAGTATAATATTTCCTGTATTTCAAATTTCAAGTTAGGGGTATGCGGAGGCAACGGATGTATTCTTAAGAGTCTTATAGGCTATAGAGGTGGTACCGGGACTGCACAAGAGCTGGAAGGGGTTCACCATTAGCTGGCACGTACGTGCGGTGTTGGAAAGACGAACCTCAGACGTGCACGAGAATGACGGCGCATTGATAAATATCAAATCAAACAAAGTGCTTATGTCAAACCTGATGAATTCGAAGTCAACGCATAGTTAGGACAACTTTGGCTAGCTATCGCGTACTTAGCGCAGGAGCAGCTATAACGAACAATCGATCTCAAAAAGCCCAACGTAATCATCAGATGAGGATGCCGAATGGTAAACAATTGCCCCGTACCTCACGGCAACTTCGTGATGTTCATGAAGCTACTCTGCGAGACGCTGATCGAAGGGGCAAGGATAGGCAAGGGCCCGCAAAAGTCTCTCTCGTGTGGACGAGCCCACGAGATAAAAGCGGACTGGGGAAAGAGTCGAACGTCGAAATCCGCGTCAAGCAGGAGTATAGTTGGGAGGGACATCCACAACCTCTTCGACCTCCGTATTTGGAAGCCGGATACCACTGTCCTGATGATGCACAAGTCTCCGCGTCGTCGTTAGCGGCGGATTAGGCTCGCCGTCAGATCCTGACGCCACAGTTGCTGGACTAGCCACTCCCTTCCGGCTTCCACTCGTCGGGTAGCTCCCAAACCCGCTGGAAGAGGTGCTAGTAGTGATGCCAGTGTTGGTGATGAAGCTTCCCAATGGCGTCCGTCTGTGTTGAGAAGCGGGCAGCACCTGTGTCGTGCTCGTGCCGTAACTCCCAGTGTCCAGCTGGGACGGTGGGGCAGCAAAGAATGGGTCGACGATATTATTGTCATTTACCACCGTATTTGCATTGGCCCTTCGTTTGCGCCTGTGTCTGATGACAAGAAATAACACAATTGAGAGGACGAGAGCTGAGACTGCTCCAATGGCACCACCAACAATAGCTCCAACAGGAGGACCCTTTGACGTATGCACAGATGAAATAGTCTCCGGAGCTGAATTGGTTTGATTTTGGATGACGAGATAGTTGAGGACTAATGGAGTTAAGGACGAGTTGCCTTGGTGAACAACTTTCAGAGTGTGGTTGCCCAAGGGTAAGGGTGTAGTCTGGAAAACCTTCTGGTTGTACTGAGTGGCAGTCCCATTGTTTGCATTTGGGAGGCCTGGGAGCGTGAAGGTTACAGCTGAGTTGTTGTCAACGGCATAGGTTGCCGTCGTGGGCCCGTGGGGAAGCTCGACTGGTATCATGGCAAACCATGTCAAATTGGTACCTTATATACAACGCTCATTTTCCTGATCACGAGAAGGGAAACACGGGAACATACCAAAGAAGTCAAGAGTCATCGTAGCCCCCGTTACTGATGTCATGTTGGCTGTTCCTCCTAATGCTCCCCATTGGCTATCAAAATTAATATCGGGGTCACGGTGATCAAAAAGGATGGCTCCTCCGTTAATCGAAGCTCCAGCGGTCGGTGAATACCGCAGTTCATCGAACCAAAACGTTTGCCCTTTGCTGGTGGCATTGACGGACATGACGTGCGGACCGTCGGGTAAGCTATCCCACTGACAGAACACCCAATTGTTCTCGTAGAAAGGAAACGGCACTTGTGTACCGCTGCTTATTCCGTCCATAAAGCACTGCCAGACTGGATCTACAACCCCCGTCGAATTATTGATGTAAGTCGTCCCATATATCGCTGCTCGGGTTCCTAAAGAAACTCCATAAGGTGGCACAGTTCACGCCAAATACAAGACGACCTACCATTGAAAGCGTAAGAAAGGCTCGCAACTCCGGTTGTTCCATGCAAGGACTGCTTGTATGTTGGCCCAAAATTGCCTTGAACGTCATAGATGCTGGCGTCAGGTTGCACCCATGGCCCGCTATACTGAATGCTGGTATCTGTGTCGTCAACCATGACCCACCGAGCAGGTCTGGTGGACATTGTTGGACAAAGTCAAAGACGGCGAGGTTGGGGTGATGGAAGCCAGAGGGAAAGGGCGCAATTTCAGGATGTATCTTCTAGTACATCACACATGCGGGATCACATCGGAAGCCGGGTGGACGAAACCCGTTCGGTTGTAACCCCAATACGAGATTGATGCCAACCGTTAGATGCTGGCTTCTTAGATCGAAGTCGTTTATCCAACAGAGGCTTGAAATCATGTCCTTTCCGAGCCTTTCCAACACATATAGGCCGTCCTTGGCTACATTAGAATTTTAGAAAGTGGCAGCATCAGCGGGCATCTGCCAGTGAAACGCACGACGCTTGTGATACCCATCGCACAGCACCAAAGAGTCCTCCTACATCAATCGTAAAGAAAAACTGCATCAATAGAATGAACAGCTTTACCTTGTAAAAATATCGCAATTCTTTGTCCACGGCTGATACACCAACAGCTTGCGAGCACTGTGTAGGGTAGAAGTTTACACGCAAGGAACTGAGGAACTAGGCTCGTGACCAGCCTGTATATGAGAACTTCGATATACAGGCTGGTATGTCTGAGTTTAAATCCCCGTACCGCGCGGCTCCCACGCCAGTTTCCATAAGCGGTTCGACAATTTTTGACCTCCCCTTAACAATCCGGTCCGGCTCACGCCAAATCATCCCGCCCTGCGATTCGCTTTTTTCTCCGTCCACTGCTTCCAACGTCAAGTCATCTCTCAGCTATGCACCACAGAAGCGCAGAAGCGCAGCCGATATACTGGCATCTGCCACATTTGCGCCGACAAAGAAAACCCGAAAACCTGCAAAAGCGAACCCTCTAGCTTCCGACATCGGTTGCAGCAAATTTTCTGCGTCTCCTTCAATATCCCAGCTTGCGCCGAGCGACGCCAATTCTCTGACCACCGCAAATTCTTACATACCACCAACTTCTTTCACATTCACCCCAACATCGATGCCGATACATTTTTGACATTGAGAAAGGAGGAAGTTGGGGGTACTTCGGGTATATTCTTTAACGCTGAATGTATTATATATTTTGTGTGTAGGCCAATTTCATTTGACAATATTGGATCAGAGCCTCCCCGTGAATTTTCTGGGTTTGGTGTTCAATGATACAGACGTGTGGTATATGAGAAAACGCGTCAATTTCACGCCATTAATTCAGTGGAAACGCGGTGCGCGTCATGCGACACGTGCGGATTGTTTAGGGGAGGTCAGAAACCATCAAACCATTTATGGAAACTGGCGTGGGAGCCGCGCGGTACGTCAATTTAAACTCAGATTTACCGGTCTGTATATCGCAGGACTTTCTTCATATACAGACGGTCACCGGTCTACTGAGGAACTTGGTACTTATTTGGGGTGGTACGCTCGTCACGTGATCTGTCCGTGCAGCTGCGACTGCTGCGACCAGCGCGCACACATTTCCGTTTCTTTCCACCACCACCACTGTCTTACATCCATTGAAGCGAACGTTCACAAGCTAAAGGTAAGAGATTGATTGAACGTTGGCGTGGCATTCAAGGCTGATTATATACGGGCAGGGATCGCGATGTCCCTTCAAGTGAACCTCTCAAGCAGAGAAATCTCTGATGCATATCAAAATGTGATCAATGCGAGGGGAATTGACTGGGTCATCTTCACGTATGAGGGTGGTACCAATGATCTGAAAGTTCAAGCCTCAGGTCACGGCGGCTTGGGGGAACTTGAGGAGGAGTTCTCTGACGGACGGTATGATTGCTCGATAAATTATCCGATATGACGATCCCTCATTCCTATATCCTGTTTCATCATCTAGAATGCAATATGCTTTTGCGAGGGTAGTGGATCGAAATGTAAGTCATTTAGAATGCGTCCAATAACAGATACTTCAACCCTTCGCCCTCAGAGTAACCTGCCGAAGTTCGTTCAAATCAACTGGTGCGGTGACGGAGTTCCCGAAGCGAAGAAAGGACTTTTCCACACCCATTCCAATTCTGTGGCCAAGTTTTTACGTGGGGCACACGTCGTGATTAGTGCTCGAAATGAGGTGAGGGACTGTCGGTTTTTACATGTTGTGATTTAACGTGTCTCGACTAGAGCGACGTCACTCCTGCGTTAATCATGTCTCGAGTAGAAGCAGCGTCTGGAGCAAAGTACTCTTCACACAAAGAGCAGCCAAGGAAATTTGAGCCGATCGCTCCTGTGGGATCAAGTTATACACCCGTAGGAAAGGTCGACATCTCTGCATTGAAGAAAGCCCCTCCACCCGCAGCCAGACCTGCCTTTTCAGCTTTACCCGCCAAGCCGACTTTTGGATCTTCGAAACCTGCCTCTTCTGCAGGTTCCCTGTACGGCAGAACGGTTGTCACTGGATCTGCCCCTGCAGATGCGTGGCCAGAGGAGGCTCCCAAAGCAACTGCGCCTCCCAAACTTCCTACAGCGAGCCGGCCACCTGTTCTTCCAACCACATCTCGCCCCGCCTTTAGTGCAATGGTGAGCTGTTTCATACATTCCTTATTCTTAGAGACGAAGCTCAATTTTGTGAATAGCAACCAGCTTCGCCAGCCTCGATTTCAACTCCTCCAGCTCGCGTTTCACCTGCATTTACTGCTTCACAACCATCGCCTCCACCCCGTATCATCACCCACGCTGCAGTATCATCTACTACGCCCTCAAAACCAGAAGAGCAAGATAAAATCGAACCCACGAAAAGTGCTTATACCCCTGTATCCCTTCCCACTCCCAAGAAACTCAAGAACCCGTTCTCGGCCTTCGGGCAACAATCAGCGTCCACGCCCTCCCCGAGCTCGCCGTCAGCTGGAGGTGCGAAAAAGTTGACTTGGAGTGAAAGGCAGGCTTTAGCGAAGAAACAGCAAGAGGAGGAAGAAGTCAGAAGTCGGAGTGCGGCGTATGTCGCCCCAGCTGCGAGTCCTGTTTCGAAACCTGTGTTCCCGTCCAGTGCGCCTGCTTTTGGGAGGGCTACCGTCTCGCGAGGCGCCCCAAAAAACTTTGGGGGACTTCCCTCAGCTGGTGGTGTAGTCGCTGCTGCTGGTACTGTTGGTGCTGCGGCTGCTGTTGCCGTGTCGACTGCGGACGTCAGAGCCGCAAGAGATGCAGTTCAAGAAGCGGCTTGGGGAACGGAAGAGGAGCCTGAGCCTGAACAGCCTGAATATGAACAACCAGAGCCCGAAGAGCCAACCGAGGTTGAAGAGGTATACGAACCTCCGGTATGTTTGTCCCTACTTGCCCTGGACGTATTATCTAACAATAATTTACTAGCCGCCGCCGCCGCCTCCTCCTCCTCCTCCTCCCGCATTTGCAACACCTCCGCCTCCACCACGGTTTGAACCTCCTCCAGCAGCGACTTACGAGCCTGAACCGGAGGAAGAGTCACCACCACCACCACCACCACCACCTCCTCCTCCTCCAACATTACCACCATTCCAACCGCCCGTTGCCCAGGTTAGTTTATTGATCTTTGTAATGGATATATGTGGACTGATTTTATCATGCAGATGGCTGCCGCATCAATCTCTGAACCTACGCCAGCTGTGAAAACACCATCATTTGCTGGGAAAGGAGTCGTCGCCGTAGTTCTTTATGAGTACGAAGCTACGGAAGATAATGAGCTAAATTTGGCCGAAGGCGACTTTGTTGAACACATTGAGGAAATCGATGAGGGGTGGTGGTCCGGTGTTGGACCTGATGGAAAGACTGGCCTTTTCCCCTGTTTGTCGTTTCTCTATTCTGATTTTTTATTACAAACTGAATCCCTATACAGCTAATTATGTTGAACTTGTTCATCAACCCGACGATGTCCAGGAGGAACAGGAGCCAGAGGCAGATATCCCTCCGCCTCCGCCTCCTCCGCCACCTCCCCCGCCCCCTATGGCCCCGATTGCGCCAGTGCTACCACCGCCTCCCCCTCGCGCGCCTACCCCACCGCCTCTTCCAGCTGCTGATGGTATAACGGCCATCGCATTATATGAGTAAATGCACCACCTACTTTTCCTTTAATTGCGTCTCTCATATACATATTCTCAGCTACGACGCTGCGGAAGATAACGAGATCACCTTCCGTGAGGGAGATAGGATAACTGAGATTGAACCTGCCTCAGAAGATTGGTGGCAGGGCCAGAATCAGAATGGGGAGGTTGGGTTGTTCCCAGGTATGTCTGAATTATTATTTTTTGGTCGGGATGGAGACTGATGGACGTGGGTGTAGCGAATTATGTGGAGGTGCAAGAGTAAGTATATTTGATAGAGTACAATAAGGATTGTCGTATCATCGAATTTGAAATACGAGAACTTCCTGTGTGGTGTTTGCTGTAGTAGGTCTAAATATAGGTTTCCCCTTGGTCTTCCCGCGTTCATGCGCTCCCTTTGTCTTTGCGATCTTGTCAGACTGTCTTGCTGGTATCTTTCCTGTGTGATTCTGTCTCTTCGTCTTCGACATCGCCATCTTTACCATGCTATTCTCTGCCAAGATGGGTCTGTGCACACTTCCAAGCCGTTGTCTTGGTCAGGAGTACTGAACATAATGATTCCGGTGATACCACCAGCGTGCTTCAGCCCAAGTGTACCGGCGTTCGTTCGAAAGCTGTGGGGTGAGCCTACACGATTCTTCAGCACGCAACTCGTTCAACACTTTTCCTGTGTTCGAAGTCAGAAACGGCGGGACTTTGACGCATACAAAAGCCGATTTTTACAAGGCTAATTTCTTCTTCTGTGCTGGGATGGATGATGGTTGGTTGAACGAGTAAGCTTTCTTGTATCCAAGTTGGTCTACGCGTTCATTGATGGGCTACACAGGTTGTTATCGAGGTCGCTGATTGTTGGTGACACTTCGTGGTGCAAGGGACAATGGACTCTCATCTTGTTTGACTAGGTCCGTCATGCAAGCTGGGTTGTGAAATGTGTAGAAGACAATTTTCTCGTTCCCATTGCTGCATATACGTTGGATGGTGAGCGTTTCCATAGTTTCTGAAGTCGAGCGCATACATTGACTAATTAACATCAGATTATTTCGATGCCTCGCAAGTGGAACTTTTACAATGCGTCGATGTTCGTGATTCGCGTCCACAGACCACTGCCACTGGGACAGATCATGCGGCTGAAGTTGCACGCGATAATAACCTATTTAATTCTCGCAAGCGACCCAGAGTTTCAGAGCACTCTACTCATCATGATACAATGTTACCTCCCACAAAGAAGCACCGACTCAATCCTCAAGCAGACTCAGACGTTATGGACTTGGAGCCTCCCACTCGCTGGGACGCAGAGGCGCATCCACGTCCTTCAGTAGTTCCATCTTGTGTTCCTCATGTCAATCTTGCGGCCTTGTCCGGGGACTCCACGCGACTCCCTTCCGCCCTATGTTCGTTTTCAGCTTCCGGGATGAAGATTCGTTTTCAAGAGGCCAGCCCCTTCCCTGCGCAGTGAGATCTTGGTCGCTTTTCCTGAAGGTGATTTACACTGACGGGGCGACAACGCTAGGAGACCTAAGCCAAATGTTCATGCAGCATTCATCCAAAGACTGTTAGCGACGCAGCCTCGAGGCGAACCATCGCCCGTGTTAACGCTTTCGATCAAGAAACTTACTGAAGCACCTCAAGTAAAGGCTACCATGTTTGCACTGAATACCAAATACCTTGGCAGGACATTCCTCAACGCGGGACTTAGGCACTGAATTTCAGCTGTTATGTTTCTATCTTCATATTCCGTTCTAGAGTGCCACAGCAAAACGATAGCATCCCACATGCTCGAAACATGTCTGTAGGATTAAATATTTCAAGAAAGGTCTTCTGAAAGCTTGTCCACCGCCCTTCACATCGTTTCCACCACCAGTAGCGCGGGGCGTCCCATTGATCCAGAAGTGGCTTCGGTGCCCACTGCCCAGCAGCTTAGAACCAACTATAGGCAGATTCCATCGAAATAGTGGGGCCCGACCTCAGCAAATCGAAATGGTTTACGCGGCGTTGCAACGTCAATGCTATATGAAGGTTACGGCAGATGGTATGCACCGAAGGAACGTTTGCTCAAGAAGAGACTCATACTGCGTTCTAAAGGGAAGGGCCTGAACCAAGATTGACAAATGACGCAGACTCCACAATGGATATCTCCGGGTTTCCATCTCAACCAAGAAATGATCCTGCGAATGAAAGCTGTCAGTATCCCGAGCTTATACATGACAGAACTTACTATCTGGCTCGCCCGGAGTTTAGCTGCGTAATATGTGGGCTGATGGGTGGCAAATGGCACGATGTCTCGTACAAGCAATTCCAATCTAAATAGGTGGGGGAGTTTGGTCGCGATCAGGTCCATAAGCTGTGGTGACAAGGACACGAGGCCTATTCGGAGCTTTCCTAGACTTTCCTCCCTGTCCTGATCAGCCACTAGATTGACGGCTCGCTCGACGTCGTCATAACTCCGATAGCCACCCGTTAGCGACAACGAGGTGATTGTTCGGGAGAAACGATGAACACAGATCACCGAGGTGTCAACCGGGAAGAGGTTAGAGCTAACATCCAACGCGCGCAATTTCGTCAATTTGACACTTCGGACGACATCGTTGATCCAATCATGGAGTGAGGTCAAGTCTGGGGTGAGCCCGATGCCGCCAAATTGCGTCGCCCGCAAACGCAATGATTTCAGGGTCGTCCGATGTCGGTTGAGAAAGTCATGAACCCCATCGGGATTTCCGAGATGCCAATTTTCGACAGGGATGCATAGGCTGAGGTCCTCAAGTGCTGGCATGTGGTCGATGGTGTGGAACAGCGGGGAGAGATCCGAAGGCTCCCATGATTGAATGACGAGCGTCTTCACTGTTGAGTTGATCTGGTTGATGGCGGGCCCCAGGTGTTCCCGCATGATTTGCGATCGTTCAACGAGGGAGTGGATGCTTTCGGAATGGATACAGAGGTGCAACTCCTCGAGACTGGGGGCGTGGAATGTAGCTGGCAAGAGGCTCTGCACGTTTTCAAGGGATAACTCCAAGGAAAGCTTGCGCAAGTTCAACTGAGGAACGGTGGTCAGGAATGGGACCGCAGTTGGTATTCCAACTGCAGGGAGGCCACACCACGTCAAAAAGTAATCGGTCACGTTGGGGAGTCCTCCAAGGACGTCCAACATGACCCGTATAACATCCTCGGTCTTCGTGAACGTGCGTATAAGCCGGAATTTGTGGTGTTTGGGGAAGATTTTTTGCTCTCGCAAATGGTTGGCGAGATCCGTGAGGCGATAGCGCAGGGAACGTCGAAGAATGGGTTCTGCTTTTTCTCTTTCAAGGGCCTCTTTGAGGAAGCCAGGATAAACATGTAGGATTCGAACGCGCTTAGCGACCTCCGGATCTCTACTCATTCATCAGCGTGTCTGATCAAGTCCAGCATTATAATGACGCACTTCAGTCGCTCAAGGCTTCTCAGCATCCTGCCATCCAGGTAAGCAAAACTCATTTGTCGGTAACGGCAATCCATGGCAATATTGAAGAAGGTGCTATTTAGGTCCAGAAGATCGCGTAGGAAAAGAGGCGGGAGGAACTGTGCGATATGAAGCCAGACGTCATCGGGAATGGATTTCATCGCTGGGCGGTGAGGGAAAGAAAAGTCGAGCTGAACGGGATACTACACCAGCCTGAAGAGTGAGCGTCAAGGCATGCCATGGAGAGACTCCCCGCTCAAAAGACAGTTGGAAAAACCTGTCAATGCTATCAAGCTTCCCTGACCTTGTTCCCCTTTGGACCGGTGTGCTTACCTCATCACAAGGGACTTCCGTCTTATCGCCGAGGACGAGGAAAGAGGCGTGAATGACCGAAAGTCTAGACCCTTCAACTTCCCCCTCAAAGCCAAACTTAGTTCGAGTAGCGTTCGACTTGTAAGTCTCAATCCCTTCAACTGAAGACCACTGCTTACTTTATTACGGAGTTTAGGAGCGTTTGGTAAAATTTCTGTTGAAAGACTCTCAGGAGACCCGCTCATACTTTCGCTCTTTAGGGACTCCGAGCAACTCGGATAAACTTCCTTTCTACGATGCAGTACATCCATCGTCATTTTGATTATAGGATCAGCGCTCAGCTTTCGATTTCATTTCTTTCGAAAGAAAGCCTTCCTACGCAAACTTCGATCGGACAACGCTGTTTAAATTTCTCATCCTCCATGGGAAAGCCACTCTCAACTTGTGCTTTTGACGCCGATGCTTGCCTGCCTCTCCCCTGGCTCCATGAGGCGAGTTATGATACTCAAGCCTCTACCGGCGAAAGCCGCACATTTTTATTTTATTTTACCTGGGTGCGCGGTACTTTAGGTAAATATGTCAACAGCCCACCCTGCGCCGTGAAAACATGCCAAAGCAGGTAGCCGGAGAATGAGCAACAAGCTACGCGCTTAGCTGTCGAGTTTCTGTTATCCTGACGCGCAAGACCTAGCTTCATCTCCGGAAAATGATGCATTACGGCTGTGGCACGTTCAAGAATCAACACGGCTCATCGCAAATTCTATGGTCAAGCCCAGCTGGTTGGATGCGAAGCTGACTCCTTGTGGTGTCCGCACGTCAACGTTTCTGGAACGAAAAAGAATTCTTACCTTGTTAGACATTCGTTGGGTTCACAAAGTTCTAAAACAACGAACACTTGCAGGTTCTAATAGTGTGTACCTACCGGTATACCTTGGGTTTACCTGTCGAATCCTCCTTGCAAACTTTTGGATATGGTTTGCTACGCGTGCGTTGCCTCATCCGTGTAGGTCTGAATACCTCAAGAGTCTTTGACACATGTTGGAAACCAGGATGACGCCGTTGATACTACTCTCAGTTTCTAATCCGTCAATAATGAGTGACTGCGGCCATGTTTACCGTTATGACAGTTTTTCTCAAATTCCGCTATGAATTTCTCGTCTTTACGTCCGTTCCACATGCACGGCGCCATATTTCTAAAGCAATGCTCAAACGGTAAACCATGCACAGAATTTCATCGATGTCCACGCTTGGTGCAAAAATCTGCCTCGTGCCTGGGCGCCTAATCACATATATATAGCTGTGCTTCTCCTGCGCAACATTCTTCCCCTGCCGTCTTATCACCATGCCGGGGCCTACAACTCAGCAGGTTTGCATCACAGTCCCTACGGTTGAGGGTTTAAGACAAGGCGCAGAAATGTTCCATCGCGAGATAGGTGTGTTTTCCGGCTTTTCGCCCAAACAGAGTCGGATTGAATGTCCTTCAATTAGTCCTCAAACACCCATTCCTGTTGGCAAGCGGACTTGTTCTCCTGGCTTACTACCCCAAATCTCCCTTTACGGCAGTATACTATGTCGTCTACGGCATTCCTAAAGCCATAATTGTGGGCCTGTTGCACTGCTTGGGCTTTGGAAGTGAGGGCGTTCGTCAAGGTGCCTAATTTCAATCATTCAGAGTCAAGGCGGTGAAGACGAGCTTCAAGTTGCGTTGCTGATCTGTGTATTACGACCGTTTGTACCAAGTTTGTACAGGTTCCTACGCTGCGAGACACCAGTTACGAGTCCTGGAGTTTACGTAAGGAATCGTTCTTATACAGACCCGTTTTTTTGTCACACTATTCTTTGAGAGCTATAGACAAACAGTACCAAACAGGTGTCAACTTTAAACTGAAAAGTGGACCAAGGGGGCACCGGCAATAGAATGCTGGACCAGTACCCGGTTAGTTAGTCCAAGGTCCAGTCCAAAAAAAAAAAAAAAAAGGAATCTTTGACAACTTAGTTCAAGGGGGGAGCGGGATTTGAATCTGCCATATGGGGTTGGTTGGTTAGTCCGGCCAGCAGGCCATTAAATTTTTTTAATCTTAAGTACCAATTTCAGGTAATTTACAAGCCAGATGAGCTCAGATTAGACTGGTGCGCTCTCTGAGGTGTTTCGTGAGCTGTCCTCACTTACAAGTGGGATATTTCTCAGGATGACCCTGCCAGAACCAGTATGTGCCATTTACACTTAGGATGATAATCCCTTCTAAGAAACCTAGAATATGATAAGGATCAAGGACAATATTCAAGACAATAAAACCGTCATCTGTCCGCATTGTGATTGTGGTAAGAGTATAGATGCAGTCAAGGTGGAGGACAAAAGCAGAGTAATTACTGCAGGCAAAAAGGCTGTGAGACATTGTGGGTATGCAGTACCTTTCATGCATTGGACTGGATCATGGTATCAATGAGTGAGTTTGTGACCCAGGTAATAAGAGCATGGAGAAAAGCAGAGGAAGGGGCAGCTAACAAAGGATAAGACAGCAGCTGACAAGGCTGACATGCCCAAATGACACCCAAAACATGTTACCTATTTATAGATTTTACCTATATATGGAAGGTTGTTTGCACACCTGGTTGGTTAGTCCAGCCATACTGGCCTTACAAAAAAAATCAACATGATATATTAAATTAAAATTGTGCTCCCCCCTTGACTTAGTTCCCAAATCATCGTAGAATGTCGTATCAACTTACTGTGACCCAGCCGGACTCCCAGCTATGCTAACTAGCATTGTAGAGTCCAAATAATAGTGGTTTCGGTTGTACATAATCATGCTTATGCTATAATTATCTTATCATGAATCACAACCTGCAAAACAATCTCAGGTAAGTAGTCAAGCATCTGTCAATCAGGTTACTTACTGGTCATCTTGACAGGGAAGTACTATGGCACCAACGTCAGAGTTGGTTCTCGGCGCCAACGGATGCATCGTATGTCCAGAGTGCAAAGTACATGTCCACTGTGGCAGTGTTGGGATCTCGAACCTCAGAATACGTCATATGGGCTTGAAAGTCTGCTGTGAAACAAAAGCAAAACATGATAAGGACGACAAGAAGAAGAATTCTTCCATACTCACCTTTCTCAAATGACTGAAAGTGGCCCCTGTGCCTTCAAAAGCCATGCCTACAACCATAATCAGTAAAAGACATTCCAAGATTTGAGAGCAGCAGAAAAATCAAAGAAATGTCTTCAATTTCTGATAGTTCTGATGTCCTCCTCGTTTCAGACCCCATTGCCACGGTTCTCTGCTGCAAAAAAAAATTCTGGCTTCACATAGGGGAAGTGAACACCTTGCACATCAATGGGCGATCTGTTGACTTTGTCAGTTTTGACATGCTCATAGAGGACACAGTCTCTGTCTTGTACCAAATGTCATGCCTATGCACGTCCACAATGGATGATGACCCCGATCAACAGAATGACTGGAGGACTTGCGCAATTGACGAGTGTTCCTTTACCAATAATTACCATACCTGGTCGACTAGTTCAAGCAATAAACCCTTCCATTTTGAAAATGCACACAAACTTTCCGTTCTATCTATTCCAGAGCACCGATCTTGTGGCGTTAACTGCAAGTCTCTTCCAAAATGTTAGTCCTGCAAATCTCAAAAATATACCCAAGATTGCACCTACCAAGGAATACCCATATCGCGAGGGCTCTGGTTCGTTCAATATCCATGCTGCCTATGGAAAATACCTAACAACTTTTATTTAAACAGGTAGCACATGCTTTGTCTGTGAAGCAAATCAAGACTTGGGTGAGATTGGCGAGCAGGGCACGTTGGATTGCCCACAGTGCTCACCAACAATAATTCTCAACCTTTCTCAAGGTCAGAGAGTGCTTGAGCACATAGGCGTGCATATCCTTTATGACCCTGCAGTCCTCCAATCAATGTCTTTGTGTGGTTTGTGCCTTCGTCCTGCACCGCTTTGTCAATTCTTCTTGGCTAAAGGGAAGGGGGCAAATGGGAACATTAGGATCGACCAAAAGGCTTCACGAGGTTGCCTGATGAAACTCAATTTTTCTTATGGTATCGCAGCTGTATCCACCTCATCTTTGCCATGCTCTAATGTCCCAATCCATTGCGAATTGTGTTTGAAAGTGGATCCTGCCATCTGGCGGTATTTCATGAAAGCGCACTTCCAGGAAAAACACCCAAACACACCTTTCACAAAATACGAACACATTTGGACCCTTTCAAAATTTGAAAGGTCTGAAATGAAAAAGATCTGGGGAAAGCGAACAAAGGTGACCATAAAACGAGCTAAAAAACTCACTTTGCAAATATCAGAGAACCATCACACTCAAATTCCATTGAGGTAAGTTTCTTTTATCTTTCTGAATAGAAAAACGACTTACTGGTACTCCTTTAAATGGGGGTGGGCAATTCCCGATAAGTGATGCTCCTGTCACATCACACATGTCATGTGACACCCTTGTGAAACACTGACCCAGTCCTGCCACCACTGCAATCCACCTCTATTCCATTGACTGACGTGTAGGAATGTGATTTAGATAGGAAATCTATACATCCTTCAAGTAGCCTTGTATTATTATCCAGTTATAGTTGTGGAATGAGAAAACTCCCTGCCAAATGGTGCTGAAGAGGCCCCCCATTCTGGTACCTTGGTTCCCCCTTCAACAACTCATTTCTGAGTAAACTTTCATTATGGACAGTTGATATATGCAATTATAGGCACAAAATGTTCAGGCCAGAATTTTTAAATCACTTTCCCTTTGCACTAAACTCATCCATAAAATGTGATATCTCACACTTCCAGGACAGATATAAAAAATCTATCAAGAACATTTTGTTTGAATCTTTTTTTTCATCATCTTTTGTTGTTGAAGCATAACCTGGGGGTGAGTGGTTGCTCTTGCATAGTCTATTCTTTGCTAAGCAGCAACAACAAGAGGTAGCAAAGCAACTTATATCTACATTAAGAAACCCTAAAAGCAGTTCTTAAATTCATTTTATAGTATCTCAAGATGTTCTGACAATTTTTGTTCCAGGGAGACATGCACCACACACTAGGAATGAGGGTGGCCATGAAATTGAGGAATATATGGCATTTACATGTTATCTTCTCTTGAATGCTGATTCTGACTCACTTAAATTGAGAAATGTACTTCAAAATGATATAGAATTACATTCATGTGCATTTTCTTTCGTAGCACTGCTCAGAACTTCATTTATGGTGAGCAGCCTGGGTTTGAGGCCATGTGTGATGCATGTGTGACATTGGGTCACTGTTTTGGGGGAAATCAGTCACAGTGTGTTACATCACACTCCCAAATGTGACAGCAGGATTGCCCACCCCCACTTTAAAGTGATGACATCTCAACATCCCCCACACGCAAACCTTTGTGCTCTCCATCAAGCTCGGATGGAGAGGAAGACTGTGATAGTGATGTCGATAGTTCGCAACACCTCAACCAAGTCACTGAAACTGAGGGAATAAGTGAGAAGACAGATGAAGAACAAGATGAAAGGATTGATACCGCTGTTGACGAGAGAGGTGCCAACATGCTGATGGAAAATTCCAATGGCATGCCACTGTGTGAGGTGATGTCAATGGATATGACAAGGTTGAACGACAGCATGAGTTTAATCAAACTGTAAACTGTGGGACTTACCGAGGTACAATAAATGCAGAGTGAGGAACCACAGCAGAAAGAATCCGACCTGGTATCTGATATGTCCGACACTGTGGAATCAGTTCCGCTTAACATCAAGGAGAATCCAGAGGATTTTGGAAGATCGAAATGAAAAAGAGTTCTGCGACAGGTGGAAACTGATGCATTCAACAAGTGCCTTTGTGGGCTGGTTGTAAAACCATCATCGGAAGGTGCACTTTTATGTAAAAAGAAAGGTTGCAAGACTCAATGGGTATGTGGTTTCTTCATACCATATTTGGCTTTACTTACCTTAATGTTTAGTACCATCTACAATGTGTATCTTTGGAGCAGGCACCTCGATCTTGGGTTTGCACATCTTGTAATGAGTCTGCACAAGGACATGTGCCAGAAGATGATGTCATATTACTATATTTAGACCAGTGCCTGATTATGTAGTTAGTTAGTCCCCTCAAAGTCCAGGAAAAGAAAAATTGACCCTGGGTCTTTTTTAAAAATCCCGGTGCCCCCTTGAAGTGGACGTCCACTTTTCAGTTCAAAATTGATGCTTGTTTGGCTGCATGGTCTTTTACAGAATGATTTGGGTGAACTGCTGGTGAGATAGGCATGGAAAATGGTGGTATCTTTAAATAAACATGTATTTTGAACAAAGTCCTATAAAATACAGGAGGGACTGGCAGGTGAGCAATCAGGCCTCAGGCATGAGGTGGTGCCCAATATGCAGCAGCCCACTGTATGCTGCGTCGCGGTGGTGTGTAGTCTCAGAAACCCATCCTCTTTGGGCACCCTTCCCAATTTGGGTCCCTTCCCTTAAGAGTCTGGGAATCTTCCAATGACATCAACATACCTTTGTCTTTGCCAATTTCTCAGCAGTTATGTAAGCTTTATGTCTGCCTTTCTGAACACGTCATTATCATCGCGTCCTCATCGCCATGTCCATCCCTTGCATTATCCGCTCCATATACCCTTAATTCCATCTCTATTAATGCCATACTATGTTTAACTCCACTCCTTTGCAACCTCGGCTACCCAAACATCCTCAAATTAACAATCAAGATGACTTTACTTTGTCCTCACCAACATTACCCCCACCTTCCACTCCCGTCGCAATACACCCACCATTCCTTACTATCAACCAAAATCTATCCTACACCACCCCACAACATCCACTTGCCAGCCAGAAGCCCTGGAAAATCTATCGAAATGGCTATGAATCGAAGCCCAAGACACCGTCATACAAGCTCAACAATCCAGGACATCCTTGACAAAAGGCCTTTGCCTTCTCCAACTTCCAGTGACTCTCTGCAATGGAAAGCATCTCCGGATGATGCTGGAATGAGTTAGCAATCTCGAGGGGGTACTGAAAGAGGGACAACACCTCTGAGACTATCAGGTTGAGGCATTGGTCATTATTCTATCTTGGCAGCAGGATTTATGTGTCATTTGCCCCAACAGGGGCTGGAAAGTCTCTTCTTTGGGTCCTCTCTTAGCACAGAAAAAAGGGATTTCTGTGGTGGTTATACCATATACAAGCTTGGGCTTCCAGATCCAATGACTAGTGTTTGAAAGTCCGGTCCAGTCCAGTTATTGAGCCCTCAAGGGCTCTAACCAAGACTGAGACCGGTTACCTTGTACCACGAAACCCAAAATAACCGAACCGGACTGCTACTAACCGATATAATTGGTTAGTAACGGTTAGCAGTCGGTTACATGACCAGTCATAACCGGTTATTTCTCTGTACTAACATAATTACAAACCTATATTATATTTCTAATACAAGCATTATGCTGCATGCACCAGCGAGGCACATGTAGGTGAAACACCGCCTCGCATGATGGCCCAATGAAGAGAGAAAGAGAGTACTCAATCTGTGAGCCTTTCTCATCACAACCTACGCATCCGGCATATTTCATAAACAACCTTGCAGGTTGAGTACACCCAACCTGCGAGCGTTTCTCATGGATTGCCATTGTTGTATCAATGTCACATTATCACACATGTGACAACAGGAAAATAGTCACTTAAATTTCAATTCACCGTAAATATGTCAATTCTCCACTAAAAAATATGATTTTTGGATCGTTAGAAAGCGTTTAAACAGGGGAATATTTGTGTGTAACGTTAGGACACAAAGACCGGTTATAACCGGTCCTAACCGGTTTTTGTTTGGTCTTGAATATTTTGGGATGACACCTAACCACTAACTGGACCGCGGTTACGATTAGGATCGGTTAGGTAATTTTTGCGGTCCTGAACGGTTACGGTTCGGTCCAGTCTCGGTTATTTTCCGGTTAACTAACCTAACTTCCAAACACTACCAATGACCATGTATTGAAAGCTATGTCATGTATAATAGACATTCCGGTTCAAACATTAAATGTACCTTTCTTCATTCTGGTGCAAATGGCAAAGCGGAACTTGAGGAAATTGCTTGTGGTGGGGAGAAACATGTCATCTACACATGTGTCAAGATGCTCGAGATGCCTGGTATTGCACAGGTGTTTTCATCAAAACCAAGCAGAGTAAAGTGCATGAAAGGGGGATCTGATTGATTATACATAGATAGGTGAGATAACTAGATTGTATTGAAGGTATATGGAGTGGATAACACAAGGGATGGACATGGCAACGAGGACACAATGATAACAACACATTCAGAAAGGCAGACATAAAGCTTACATAACCACCAAGAAATTGGTGAAGACAAAGGTACATTGATGTCATTGGAAGATTCACAGACTCTTAAGGGAAGGGACCCAAATTGGGAAGGGTGCCCAAAGAGGATGGGTTTCCAAGACTAGGTGGTGTGCCAATATGGCAACTGAAGATGGCAACCAATACAATGAGACAGTAGTTGACAAAGGGGAGGGTGGTCAAGTCAGCATAGTCAGATTCTCAGTGCACCACCCCCTGCTCCCCTTCTTGTGTTGCCCTCACTACATACTGTGGGAGTTAGATTGCATTGAGCAGAGAAAAGCAGATGCAAATACATGAAGAAGGGGAAGAGCTATGGTGATGATGACATGTTTACCAGGCCGTGTAGGAGCCTGTCCATTTGGTTGAGGTGTGTAACAGAGGTCAACGTCACTGCACGTGTGAGGCAGGCACGCAATGGGAATGGTTTGGAGGTCTTTACCGTCCTCCACTGATTCCTGCCAGAATCCGGCAGAATCCAGGCCATTCCTGGAATTCCAGGGGAATCAAATTTGGCAGAGGGCCCTGCCAAATTGATCAAACCATTCCAGCGGAATTTTGATGGAATTCAAATTCCGCCAGAATGGTTCCAGGAATCACCCAGAAGGAATGCTCCCAGAATGAGACAGAACAGAATTCCTGATGCCCAAGCGTCGGCATTTGCTGACACTTGATTTGGGCATCATCAACAAACAACCACTGCTCTCTCTCAACCACCACCATTGTCAACGATGCCCACCCACCTTGTGACATCACCATGTCACCAACGGCCACCATCATGCACACTGGCCACCCATCTACAACGAGCATGCCACGTCACCAGTAAACGAGCACCCATGACAACACGTTGCAACATGGCAACAAGACAATGAGAATGATGACCAAACGACCCCCACACTACGACACAACACCATGGCCACAATGTGGGAAACGATGCCGTCACCAGCCCCAGCTGGTAAGCAAGCGGGGCAACACATTGCCACGTCGCTGATAGCAACGTGGCAACCAGATGACTTGTCATTCGTCGTCATAGGTGAGCACCCCCTGTCCCAAGTTCGTCACAACCCAGCTTGCTAACACCAGGCACACAACGAGGGACAGCAGATGACACGTCAGCAGACGACCACGTCAACGCACGACCACATGACCATGCCCACGGACGACGACATGCCCCACCACATCAACGGAGGGCCATGCCGACAGATGACACACCCACGACGGCATGCACAACCATGTCAGCGGACGACGACTGCGTCAACAGACGATGACCACGTCAACGGACAATGCCCATGTCAATGGGCAATGCCCATGTCAATGGACAACGACAACGTTAACAGACGATGACCACGTTAGCGGACGACGACGACCCACCCTCTTCCCTGTACCTCCCTCTTCCTTTCCCTCCTTCCCTT